TTGGAAGTATTACAGTACTTTCAAAGCACTGTCCTACTTTCAAAGTACTGCAGTACTTTCCAGGTGTCTCAGTGCTCAATCGCCTGTTTCGGCCTGTTCGGGGATGTTCGGGAAGGTCACTTTGGTGCATCAGTACTTTGGAAGTATTACAGTACTTTCAAAGCACTGTCCTACTTTCAAAGTACTGCAGTACTTTCCAGGTGTCTCAGTGCTCAATCGCCTGTTTCGGCCTGTTCGGGGATGTTCGGGAAGGTCACTTTGGTGCATCAGTACTTTGGAAGTATTACAGTACTTTCAAAGCACTGTCCTACTTTCAAAGTACTGCAGTACTTTCCAGGTGCCTCAGTGCTCAATCGCCTGTTTCGGCCTATTCGGGGATGTTCGGGAAGGTCACTTTGGTGCATCAGTACTTTGGAAGTATTACAGTGCTTTGAAAGTTGGACGTAGGGGTAATACTTTCACCGTACTGATGCACCAAAGTGACCTTCCCGAACATCCCCGAACAGGCCGAAACAGATGACTGAGCGCTGAGACACCTGGAATGTACTGTAGTACTTTGAAAGTAGAACAGTACTTTGATAGTGCTATAATACTGCCATAGTAATGATGCACCAAAGTGATTGAGACACCTGAAAGTACTGCAGTGCCGAATAAAGCAAAGTGCTGCTACGCTTTGAAAATACTATAATACTTTGCAGCTAAGTACTAGCTTTTAATGTTTACCATAAACAATCGGATTCGAGTTAGTACTGAATAAATGTGCGATTCATTAGTAGAGTTAATCTTTGATAAAAAACACACAATGAAACCAAATAGAAATACTGTAATTAAGGTAGACTTTTCTCGAGCTGATTGTACCTCGCTTACACATTTTCAGGTATAGAACTACTTTCTACCTTAATTTTTTTGGAAAGAATATGTTTTAGTTGTAGTGTGGTGGTACTGGAAGATTATAATGTACTGCAGTACTTTGTAGCAGGGCAGTACTTGTGCAAATGCCCCATATACTGTTCGCCTGTTTCGGGATGTTCGGCGGTGTTCGGGAAGATCACCTTGAAAATGTATTGGTAGTACTGTATTATATTATTTTGAAATAAATACTGCAATATCTGTAGTGCGTAAGTACTTACTGTAAAGTGCTTTCGCCATCGTTCACACCACAAATCGGTCGATTTACGAGGTAATTCCGACGGCTTTCAAGTTGACTTACAAGGCGCTGCTGCAAATTATACAGTATGCACCTTGGCCCAGTATTAATTTGTGTATAATACGCAGTGCAAGTATGGCATTAGCAGTTATTTAGCACCACATTTGTTTTACAGTAGTACTGCTACCCGTAGTACTCATCGTTGTCTTACAACCCTTTTACTAACTCACGGTTTGTTGGTGTTGTTGCTGTTGTTGCATAAACATACAGCAACTCATACTCATCCTTTTACTAACACACAGTTTGTTAACTCATCGCGACGAAAATTGACTAAGCACAAACTGTCTCCAAGCGACTGTTAAAGAAGCATGCGATATCAAAGAAACCATTATTGTCAGTAAAAGTACTGACTAAGTTTTTGTAATAGTTAGTATGGGCTTTATGGTTGCATGAGTACTGTACTGCCCAATAATGCGCATTCTGGTTCAAATCAGTACTGTAGTTAACTATCAATCTATTAATAACAGTTTAATAAATACACTAACTATCTAAGAAAAGCAGCATGTGAATCAGTATGACTGCAGTGCAAACAGTCTGTGTAATCACAAATAAAAAAATTCGCTGAAAAACAGGAAATATACTGTACAGAAATTTCTGTACTATGATACTGACCGAAGTTAATGGCGCCACTGTACTCTAAAATACTTAGTATGCTGCTGCCCCAAACCCCACGTGTACGACTGCGGTTGAGTGTAAAACAATGGAAGTTATTGAACTAAGGCTTTAAATTTTAAATTGGTTTATGGGTCAGAGTTTTAGTAATGCAAAGTTATACCCTTAATATGCCCCAGTGCTCGAACACGACGTGAATTTTCTCGATGTCGATAAACAACCTGAAAAAATTTAATGAAGCGTAAATACTTGTAAATGCAATTATGCAAGTACCAGTGGTGCACAAAAATATGAACCATAATGTTCATAAACATGCACCATAATATAAGGGGCATATATGGGCAGAGTAGCAAGCGGCGAAGGGGTGACGATAGATACTATACTCTGTACAATAACTGACAATTGTGAGGTAAGTAGTGGTCAGGTTCATGGTGCACAAAACATACGGTGCATGCACCAGTGGTGCATAAATATGCACCGTTGGTACGGATCTTTACTGGTGCCGTTTTGCCATATCCCGTGATTTCGTGGCGATCGTTTTAACGTCTACTTCGTAAAGTACAGTACTCAGTAACGGCTTTTCTCCACTTTGGTACCGTTAAAAACAATAAGATTGGATCGGCATTCGATTGGCAGTTTGTCAGCACTATGACAACGGCGATGGCTTTGGCGCTGAAGTAGTGAAATACATTCTGGAAGCCAAAATAGATGGCATACGGTCCCCAGCAGACGAGGATGCTCACCGCTAATACGCCCATTAATAAATTCGCTTGGTTCTCCTGAGACTGTTCCTTATCGCGGGGTTCGTTTGAGTGGCTACTAATATCAAGCTGCAGGCTTTGTTGAGTGCTGAGGGTTACCCTACCGGTTGGTTGGCTGCTGCTTCCGCTCTGGTTATTGGTAGCCGGCTGAACGGCCGTCCCTTTTCGCCTACGCTTGCGCAGCTTCCATACAACCACCGGAATGGACGCCGATGTGATCAAGAACGACACCAGTCCGATAATTTTCTGGATGTTTTCAGAAATTTGTTCCATTAGCGTTGGCGCGCCGCTGATATTGAAACAAAATTTAGTGAGTTGTGGTTGTCGGGCGGTAACACTGATGATAGCAGACATTAGGGCGATAGTGTGCGGCACAATCCAGATAACGGCGATCAACCGGCCCACGAAGCGTTTACTCTGGAAGTCCCGGAAACTGATCGGGTGTACCATGGCCCAGATGCGGTTGAGGGCGATTACGGCGTGGTTCATCGGCTGGGCAAGGTTAAATGCATAAACAGTGTATACGTAGAAAACACAGCCGGGAACACCGATGTTTAGTTTAGGCAAGAAAGCGTTGAATGCTGAAAATGCCAGGGATGTGGAGTCAGACAGCATATTAACAAATAACAAGCTGAGAAAGTATAAATCAAAGGGCACCTTGTCTCTGACGCGTAGCAAAAACATGAAAAAAAGGATGGTATTTAATGGAAATGCGGTAATATGAAGGATGACTAAGGCGACATACGATGTACTTATCGGTTCGGGCGGGGCTCTTTTATGCTGCAGGTACGATGCCGGCGTAAAGATGTCCGTGGAATTCGCCAAAGTGACATTCATGTTTTGTGAACATTTGAACACAGTGCACGGCCAAAAGAAATCAAGCTGATAAAATTGTATTTCCTGTGACTCGATCCTGGAATTCTACTTTTATATGGCTTTGATACAAAGAATTGTTCGTTATCTTGCTGTAGGTGCGCAGCTTTTAAGCAATTGTACAACGAGAACGAGCAGTTCTTCCCACGCACTTGAAAATTTTATTGCAAATTTTGAGGATAACAGCGCAGCCTACACCTCACAATCACAAGATTACACCGATTGACAAAGCGCAAATTTTTAATAATTCACGAACGGTAGCTGGCTGCCTAATGAAGTTTGCTCACGCCGGAGTGCATGATGTATTACCGTACCACAATAATTCTGAAGTGTGTATAGTGCGATAGTTCATATGCAGTATGAGCGCATTGCGCTTCCTCAGCCTTCCTGGATAACCTCATGAAATGTGTAGCCGGTGTGACACTAAGAATTAATAATTAAGATACACACAGAATTTCTGTAGTGAATCCCAATGCCAAAACACTGCACGGTAGGAAAAACTGCCATTTTTATGAACTTCTCGCGTCTGCTCTCATATACATTTCCCCAGATTATTCAGGAAGCGCAGTGTGCTCATATATATGAACTATCACACTGTATGCTATTCAGAATTATTTTACGGTAATTTATCATGCCTCCGTCGTGAAAAACTTCATTAAACAACCAGCTACAATTCATGAATTATTAAAAATTTGGGCTAGTTCTTGATATTTTTCTGTTCGTCTGATTTTGTGAAGGGTTTTGGTCTTATTGTTAGACAACGCTACTCTTTACGCTGCTAATTTATATTGGAGCTGATGAAAAAGTGCATAAACGTAATGGATTTTTTTGCAGGCAGTGCAGGCACAACTATTTCTATCAAATATATCGAATAAAACTTAGAGCATGCAAAACATGGATGCCGTCCCAGTTCCTGTAAGCCGGGAGCACGAAGTTTTTAAGCATTTCGTAATTTAAAGGCAAGAGAATGAACTTGTAAGCCGGAAACGAACGGCAGAATAGCAGACAGTATCCCCTCAATCTAAACACATACGAGTACCGACCACCACTTAATTACGGATATATCGGAAAGCAAAGCAACGAAAATCAGTGGTTAAAAAAGGTAAATCCCATCAGCGGGACTATTGGAATTTGTTAATACCGTATAGTGTAGATAAGCCGGGCATCGCCTAAATACGGTATGGTACTGATGATGCACTGCGTCAAATTCTTGTTAATGGAAATCCAAAGAGTTTCTGTCTAGTAGCAAAGGTGTATAAAGGCAGTGCTGTGCGAGTTGTGCTAATAGTTGATAATACGAACGAATCTGGACGCGGTCACTTCTGGTTCCGGAATACTATTTTATGCCGTTCGTAGATCTGTTCGGCAACAGCTGAGGCCTAGAATAGGATGTCAGTACCAGTTAAGTTTACAAGTGCTCTTGTCACTCTTCGTACGGGTTATAAGATAGATTGGTATAACCGTTTACGATACAACGTACAGCACATAGATCGAGTGAACTTACATAATTTCGACCTCCTTCCGTTTTCCGACTAAATTCTCTCTTTCTATCTACAACTGGAAAAATAATCCGTGACGGTCTTCCGCCACTTAGGCAGCGTTAAGAACAGCAGAACCGGATCGGCAACGGATTGACAGCTGGACAGAATGATCACCACGGAAATGGCGGTCATATTAAAGTACCCAAAAATAGGCTGAAAGCCGAAATAAATGGCGTACGGTGCCCAGCAGAGGGCGATGCTGACACCTAACACCCCCATGAACAAATTCGCTTGGTTCTCTTGGGCTTTCTCTTTATCTTTCCCGTCGTTCGTTTTGAGAGGCGTAAGACCGTTGGTCGCGGATTGCGACGTAGCCGGCTGACTCAGCATGGAGTGCGCCGTCTGCTGACTACTGGCAGCGCTGCGATTGGTGGTTGACGGCTGCACCGTGTTCTCTTTCCCCATTAGGCGCTTGCGCAGCTTCCAGATGACAATGGGAATTGACGCCGTCGTGATTAAAAACGACAGCAACCCGATGATTTTCTGGATACTCTCGGAGATCTTTTCTGCCAGCGACGGAACGCCCATAATATTAAAGCAGAACATACTCTGCGTGGCATGACGCGAGGTCACGCTGATGACCGCCGTGGACATGGCGATGGCGTGCGGCACCACCCAGATGATGGCGATTACCGTGCCGACGGAACGGGGTTTCTGAAAATCCCGGAAACTGATGGGATGGACCATGGCCCAGATGCGGTTGAGGGCGATGACGGCGTGGTTGACCGGTTGAGCAATGTTGAAGGCGTAGACGGCGTACACGTAGAATACGCAGCCGGGGATGCCGATGTTCAGCACGGGATAGAAAGCGTTGATGTAGGAAAACGGGATCATCGTCCCTTCCAGGACGATGTTGACCGCCAGCAGGCTGAGAAAGTAGAAGTCGAAAGGGACCTTTTGGTTGGCCCGGATGGCAAATGTCCAGCCGAGGATCGCGTTGAGGATCAGGCCAATCGTGTGAATGATGACTAGGGATAGGTACGTGGGAACGAAGCTGCCTCCCGAATTGCTATCATAAGAAGCGCTAGCGTTTGTGGCCGCGACGATTGTCGCATTTGGCAGACTTGCGTTCATTTTTTTGGGAAAGGTCAGTTCTGATGCTTTTGCACCTAGGCGGGAAATTTATCCTTGAAGCAAGGGAGCAGTTGGAAAAGGAAGGAAGAAAACGAACTGGAAGGAAGGAAATTTTATTGTGATAACGCTGTTATAGTGAAAAGCAGTCATGCGGAATACACAAGTGAGTGGCATAAAGAATACATACCAGTGAACGAACTTCTTTCAAAGGGTGAATGTCATCAAGTCATGCATGCAAAAATTTCCGTGCAGAGAAAAGTTTCGATTAATGAATTGTGTCTTGCTAATCATTACAAAGGGTCAAAGAAAATTCAGCAGAGACAACGTGGTACAGTACCTGGTTTTGAATGGGAAGATACTACCGATCTGTTGCAATCACCATTTTGCGTGTTGTGGATATTTGATACACATTGTGGTGAATCAGCGTGAAAACGATAGTTGCACGAAACCGCGGTTGAACGAACTAGAGTACGGTAAACTGAAGAGCATGGTATCGGCGTGGCCGGAATCATATACACGTCGGAAGATGTATAAATGGGGAAGCAGCTGTTTTGTCAGGAGATGTTCATTTTGAGACCGGTAAACTGACTTTAATTGACACACCTGCTGAAACCATGTTCAAACACAAGAGGCGTGTGTACTACTAAGCAACGTTTGTTAAACGAAATACAAAATAAATATAGGAGTAGTATTGTAGAACGCCCATAAGGTAGTCAAGGCACAGTGTCCGACCTAATAATATGGATACAAAGCAACGTGGATATGCGTATCATCGGAAGGATTTAACGATTAACACAAGTTGCGGGCAGGACCCCCCATGAAAACGGCAAAGTTTAACGCCTTGAAGAATGAAACATAGAATCAGTTCGTTCACTCCACTCTGTCGCAGAGTAGGGATACCTGAGCGATGTGGTGTTATTTAAAATAATTTTCAAGTTCTCAACATCCGGAGCAGCTGGCGTTAATTTTCCAGTTATACACAATTGATTAATTATTTAAGTAAATCATCTCCATACCGGAAACACGAAATAACAATTGCAAGTATGCAACTGGAGAGACTGTTTACAAGAAGCGCATATACATGCATAAATATATATGCCTGCTTATATATGCAGTGGCGGCACCCATAGACTACGACTGGTGGTTACAAGAATTAGAAAAACAAGAAACGCAAGATATGCGCGGAATAATAAAGCGTTCGTGCCTGCTGTGCATAGCTTCTGTCACTAATCAAAAGCAGACGAGACTAGCAACGTTTTTAGAAATTCCCCCTACAGATCTTTAATATTGCGTTGCCGCATGAAAACAGCCAGATCATCCTGTATACCGCTCCTGGGAAAAGGAAACCGCAGACAAAAGTTATTGTTTCACGGTACTGGTAAATCCATGTCTTGCAATTTGTGATCGTTTTACTCGGTCAATATTACAGTATTTCAAGCCGGTATCAGTGTCATTTCCATTATGCAGCAAATAATGCCGCTTGTTAACGAGTGACATAAAAGGAAATTTTATCCTGTAGTAAAAACAGTTTGCATCTTCTTTTCATTACAATCTGCATGCATAATCTATCAAAAACACCCGTAACCGTGGACGAAAACATCTTTTTATCACGCCTGAAAAAGGAGACAGACATCTGATCCAGGCCGCAGTTTTTGATTGATTATATAATCATACTCGGTTTAATTTATAATCATACTCGTTTTCAGCGATCTGTCATATTAAATTAATTAAGATCAGGGACAGTTGAAATAATGATCACATTGGCAGCCACGAAGGAAATTAAAAGAAAAGCATAAAACGACAATCTAAAAATCCGCTTTTAGAGTTTTTCGATTCTCGACCAAACGCCTTTTTCCGTGCCCAGTATTCCAGCTTCATCTTTCACTACCAAGGGTATCTAACGGGATAAGCCCAATGTCAAGAAATATCTTCGAAACAAAGCAAGGCGAACTGCATACCTGTGTTCGATCACATTTAACGAAGCGGTATTTTCGCAGCAGATGCGCCATCACCACTTTGATTTCATAATAGGCGAATCGCATGCCGATACAGTTGCGAGGGCCTTGCCCAAACGGCATAAACGAGTACGGAGCCACGTTCTGTTTGTTTTCCGGGGAAAAGCTAAACCATACGACGAAAATATTAGCACTGATAGTGATAGGCGATAGCTGACAATAATTATTACTTGTATTTCGAAAAAACGTTAAGAAAACGTTACGTTATTGTTTTGTAAACTTACCGATCAGGATCGTATTGCTCGGGATTAGGCCAGTAGTCAGGATCGCGAGTAATCGCCAGGATGGGAATAGCCACTATCGTCCCTTTTTCGTACTTAACGCCGTTGTACTCCCAGTCTTGGTTGCAAACACGCTCCGTGCGGGTAATGGGCGGGTATAAGCGCAGTGTCTCGTTGATGCACTGATCGAGGTAATGCAGCTCCGCTAAGTCGTCATATTCCACGTTATCTTTTTCTCCTAGAACAGCGAAGATCTCTTTGCGCAGCTTCTCCTGCACGTCCTGATGGATGGTTAAACAGTAGGTCAAATACGTCAGCGTTGTGGCTGTGGTTTCGTATCCCGCCAGGAAAAAAATGATGGCTTGCGCCACGAGTTCCTAAGCATAACAGCCAGTGGAAGAATTATAACAATTATGTAATGAGCGCATACAGTTATGTATTTTGTATATACATTTAAACCGCTTTTTAAAACAATTATTTTTGAACCTCATCATTACTCTATTTGTAAGCGTACCTCGTTAGTTAGTTTATAATTAGAACTGGTTAGCGGTTTCTCGCCCAGTGTCAGTCCGGACGACGCTACATCCGCTTCCTGCGCGCCGTCATTCCGCACGACCGTTTGGGTTTCCTTGCCGGACTGGGTGTCTTTCATTGACCTCAAAGAATTCAGCATCAGCTGTAGAAAATCCTTTCGCACCTACGGTGGTCATTCGAAAGGTCAGAGCACGGCATTATAATTTTGTATTGCGATGGTTCATGCAGTACCTGTTTTGATCCTATCCGCAGTTTGACAATCTCTTCGGTGTTTTTGACGAAGAAGTCGATATCGTCTTTCGGGAACGTTTGATATTTGAAAGCTTGGAAGAGAAATCTTAGTTTAGGGAACACAGCTGCAAAAATAAGCATTTTATTGGGATGCAGAAATCTGTACATCCAGGTAAAGCACATACTGAGAATCATAATTGCAGGTTCAAACTGTGATACTTTGAAAACGCTTTTGGCGTGCTGGACAAAACCGTCGTTCGGATCGTTTTGGGAGTTGACCTTGGTGCCGAAAAATGTGGTGGCGATGACGTCCATGGTCAGGCGACCATAGAGCTCTTTCACCGGACAGTCTTCGCCACTTTGCGCATATTCGCCCATTTTTGTCAGTAGAACATCGCAGCACTCTTTAACCAAGCTGTTCATCTAGAAAATGCTCTCCATTTCTTGAGTTCACACTTAGCAGATTCGGTGTATGTAAATTCATGTAAACTATATGCGTACTTGTTTAATTTTTCCTGACGAAAATGACGGCACAAGGACGCTTCGAACATCCTAGAAAGCGGCAAACGAGTTGAAATCGCCAACATGTGCTCTGTATTTAGAGCGGATACCTTCCATTTCTGGTCGCGAAGATCCAGGACATTTAGTTCCATTACGGGACCGCTGATGCCGAATTCCTTGAAACAGAATTGAAGTGAATGAGTTAATTATTTAAAATTACGGAACTCGTATAATAATATTACTACAGCAATACAGTGGTACTGCATGCAGTCTTACCCGACGATTGACGAAATGCCCAAAATCTTTGACCATGATATTCTTTAGCATCTCCAACTCACTGATCATGACAACCGGAGTTGGTCCATCAAAATATCTACCCAACATAAGAAAACAGTGTATTCAGATCGCTTGCATGATAATCAAACATATAAATGCTCATCAAACATATCCCTACCCGAAAATTTTGCCGAGTTTCTTCGTCATTGCCAAGTCGAAGGTTTCCTCGCCGGGCTACGGTAGAACGAAAAGCAAATAGAGCAAAGATTCATCGCTGTATAGAAAATTGCTGTTTCTTATTCAGTTTGACGTTAGCCTCGCTGATCCCAGCGGATATATTGCCGACTGCAAAAGTTAAAGTTACCTTAGTAGCAAAGAAACCCTGCTGAAAAACATTGCCCACAACCGGTAATCCAGGCAGTGTCGGGATACCTTTATCCGGCCAGTACGATCTCTTGCGAAATGCATCGCTACAAAGTAAAACGATTGTCGGTTGCCATGCTGGACAAATTGGACAAATTATCGCCACTACTTACTAGATCAGATAGGCAATTAACCCCAGCACAGCAGCTGCAATAAAAATTGTTGCCATTTCTTAAAAAGGGATGTATACACTGCGAAGAATTGCAGACTGACTGGCGGCGCGATCGATGCTAGGAAATGCCGATCCAACACACGCGGTAGGAAGTTTGTTGATTTTAGCGATCTGCTGACAGAAGCGCGTTCAGCTTTGATGTTGTCGGTGCGAGACGTATGCGGTGGGCTGTACAGAAAATAAGGCTGTGGAATAACATGGATAACGCATTTTCTGCACCGGTGTGCAAATAATAGAAGAACAGGTTTTATCGCGACAGTCAGAGCAAAGTGGGAGATTATGCTGGGTATACAATGGCCATCGAGCGTATCAGCTGTCTGGCTGATTCATTTTGGTCATTTGTATTATGCAATCTTGCCTTTGAATATCCCAGCCACACGGTTATGGCACATTGTATGCGTTCAAGGATTACATTACCGGGATTTTTGTGTGCCTTTTTCTTACATCATATACTTTACCTGTATTGACAGTTATCATTAGGTGTGTTGTGGCTTCGATAAGCATTGCATATAACTACAAATTACTTTTTTCAATACAGTACTTTTTATTCTAGTATGCAGAAATATTGGCATACCATTTCACCACAAATCTACAGTTTCAAACGGTATTATCGTATTATCATAAACAACTGTCAAATATCAGCAGCCCGCTTGTATCTGCGGCACGACTGCTTAGATAGAGTATAGACTATAAATTATTAGACTATATTAGTCGTATCTTTGATGGTTAAAAAGATAGTTCGTATCATAAACGTATTCGTCCCATAAACATGACGGCATGGATGCGATACTGTAAAGAATATTCATAACACAACGCACACTAGTTAACATGGACATTATGAGCGCTTATAATCACAATACTGAAAACCTGCTACTGCAGTAATTCGAACTTCGAAGCCAAAAAACACATTTTTTCACTTGTTTCTCCGTAGTAGTAGTCCAGTTAAAGGTTACAATTTTTCGATCTTCACCCAAATGCCCTTTTCCGGAGTCACTAATCCAACCGACTCATCTTTCAACACCAGCGGCACCTGATGCGACAATAAAATAGCTAAGATTAGGGTAAATTATCATAAATACGATGCTTGGCACACTTCCTAAACGTTACCTGCGTTTTTGGGCTCTGGACAAATCGGTATTTCTTTAAAATACTAGCCATCACCATTTTGATTTCGTATAAAGCAAACCGCATCCCGATACAATTGCGTGGACCTTGACCAAAAGTCAGAAAAGTGTAGGGCTTAATGTTAGCTCTTTCTTCCTTCGAAAATCTGCAAACATAGTCATCAGTAATTGGTTCGATGGTTGATAACCATAGGGAACCGCTTTTGTAAAATATGGCACAGTTTAAAGTCTGCCTGACCGTGAGCTAACCTATCGGGATTGTACATTTCGGGTTCCGGCCAATATTCCGGATTCCGATGAATGGTAAACATGGGTATCGCCACAAGTGTCCCTTTCTCATACGTGACGCCTTCGTACGTCCATTCTACACCGCACTCGCGCTCAATTCGGGAAAGGGGCGGATACAGTCGCAGCGTCTCATTAACACACTGATCCAGATACGTCATCTCTGCCAGATCATCATACTCGATCACATCCTTGTCGGCTAAGACCGTCCGAATCTCTTTCCGTAAACGCTCCTGGATATCGGGATGGGTGGCTAAGCAGTAGGTCATAAAGGTCAGCGTCGAAGCCGTGGTGTCGTACCCGGCCAGGAAGCAGATGACGGATTGCGCCACGAGTTCTTCCAGAGAAAGTTTATAGTTGGATTGGGAGATAGGTTTGTCTCGGGTCCCACTTAAAATCATAGCAGCTGACGCCACATCCGGCTCGGCTTCACTATGCACCCTTGTCAAGGTTTGGGTCGGCTTAGTGTCGGTCATGATGTTATCTGATTTCATGGAGTTCAGCATCAGTTGAAGAAAGTCTCGCCGGTTCTGGTAATGCAAAAAGGTTTATCGTTTTGTACTGATAGTGTTGCTACATATCTGTACATACATCATCGTACTACCGTACGTACCGTACATCGGCATTAATGCACAACGTTCATCTGACCCAGGAAGACGAGTTATTAGGACATTAACTTTTTAAACCCGAATTCGAAACATTTTAGCCACATTATTGCACGAGCGCGAACGCCAGTACTATTGGGTAAGGGTACTGGGTTTGTGGAATTGGAAAAGTGTTACGTTACGCTCTTCGTGGCGTCAGACAAATTTTTTGCCCTGGACGAAGGCTTAAGTGCAACACCTCGCGCTTCGCGCAAAAATCCAAATTCGAAACATTTTTATTTGATAACTGCAATTTCACGGAGCGAACCTGCTTCGTTTCCTTGCGCATTTGAATTATCTGCGCCGTGTGAGTGACGAAGAACTCCATAGCAACTTTATTAAATGTCTGCATCCCAAAAAACTTCATCACCAACTTCACTTTTGGGAAGATCACTGCAAAGAACGCTATGCGCTTTGGAATACTGTAGGAATCAGCTTGAATTGAACAAAAGAGTTATCGTGGTTAGGAGAAAACCACTTATAGCGTGCGTACTTACAAATGCGCGAGGACAGTGCACATGTTACAATTGTGCTTTTCCCTTAAACATACTCTGTACGGTAACTTGCGCGGACCGCTACAGTATTGTGAAAGGAAACCGAAAATACGAACCAGAACCGACTTACTGGAAAGAAAAGCCGGCAGAGCGACGAAAGAAAACTCGAAGACCTTCTTGGCATTCTTGGCAAAATTGCTATTTGGATCTTTCTGGGAATTGACCTTAGTGGCGAAGAAGGTCGTGGCGATTACATCTAAGGCCAACCGCCCGTATAAGCTAGTTAGAACAAAAGAAACTGGTTTTACTTCACTCTTCAGCACAGTTCATAGAGGAGGGGAACGACAAAAACCGGTCGTAGCTTACTCTTTTGCCGAAAATTCTTCATCACCGATAGCGAGTTGATCGAGTCTTCCCAAAAGATCATCGCAGCATTCCTTGAATAAATTGTTCATCTAAAAAAATCCGACGATGGCATGAAGTTAGGAAATTATTTTCGGGTAAAAATCACGAAAGGTTAACCTGTTTCAATTTGCCGGACGTAAAAGCCGGTAGTAGAACACTTCGCACATCCTGCAAGGAATCGACCCGTTATAGGCAGATCCAACACGGCAGCAAATGCAAAGTACCTTCCAGTGTTGATCCTTTAATGCAGCAACGTTCAGCTCCATAATGGGTCCTTTCACACCAAAATCCTGCTCCAATGAAACTTGTCAAGATTGTTAAAAACTGCGCCATCCTTTGTCGTATGTAGTAGGCACTTACTCGCCGGTTAGCAAAGTGAGAGAAATCTTTCACCATGATGTGTCTGAGCATCTCTGCCAGTCGGAAACCAACCGCATTAATGAAAGGCCATCGTGGTAAAATTTTAAAAATACACCGAATTACCGAGGTCGGATGTGACAATGTACGGAGAGGGTCCCTCGAAATATCTGCAAAATGGCAATCATTTTCGTAACCTGTTCGGACTGTTGTATTGTTCCGCGGTTCAGTATTGTGTTAGTGTTACCCGAAAATCGGTCCCAGCTTTTCTGTCCATTTCAGATCGAATTCCCTTTGTCCCGTCTGTAACACACACATATATACTCAATATTTCTAAACCGCTGCTTCGATAGGAGATTGAAAAAATGGAGGCGTTATGCATCGACTCGAAAAGTCTCCGGCAAAGCGGCCATTTAAAAGAACCCTTTCGAATATCCTATAATAACAATATTTATACCGTACCCGTATTTTAGTCAGAAGGCTTCCAAATAGTGGAGCAGGTTTCAGTGACGGAATTCCTTTTTGAGACCAGTAGCGACTTTTGCGGTAGGTGTCGCTAAATTAAACGTCGAAGTTAACAAGTATGTCTACCTAATGCCTGAATATACACAATATTTACATAATTCCTAACTCAATTTTGAAGCATCAGTGTTCGGTTATTACCGTGATAATTACGAATCAAAATCAAGATTTGTAAACGTAAAAAGAAACATAAATAAGTTTTTAAATTATACTTACTATGATACTTATTTGTAAAATTAAAAAGAAATATAATTAGGTTTTTAGATTATACTGTACTTACTATGCAATGTACGCAACGAGTCCGGCCACAAATGCCGCTATCCAGAATAGTGCCATCGTCTGGAATTACTGATAACTCCACAAAGAAAAGCAAAAAAATCAGCTTGAATAATAGAAATTATTATCGGTCGATGCGTGCACTCTTAGAAAACCCGAAGGAATTACAAAGAAGCAGTAGGACAGTTGTTAGGATTTACACAGCAACCGCATAACTGGTGTCGGCAAGGTCAGTCTCCTGCGCCTGCGGTTATACGCCTCCTACTGGTATGGTGGTGATGATAATTAGTTCACCAGATAAATCGTTTTCGATAGTGCAACCTCGTGTAAATAGTTTTTAGTAATTAACTTTAGGGAAGTGTATAACGTACAGCGTTATGGTAAACCTAGAAAGATACTGTAGCCGCTAGATGAACTTGCACCACAGAGTGTAGAGTACGAAAAAAGTCGCACACGCTGCTTGGCATTCTGCAAAACGTGCGCGATGCCCTGTAGGGGGAAGACAGCGGCCGGACCTGACAGTGGTGCAAGTTTATCTATCGGCTGCAGTAATTTTGCACCGAATTTATCTATTTATCTGCTGTTCGGTGCGAGTAAGGTTTTTTATCTGCCGTTTGTGGGATCATAGTGCACCCTCGTGCAATGGGTTTTTAGTAAACAAGAAAGTGTAATGACAGTGTTATACTGTAGCAATAGCCAGAACACATAATTGCTGTACCGTATTTATCTGCTGTTCGGCACGAGTAAGGTTTATTATCATTCTGTTCTTCGTGCGATCACAGTACAACCAACCAGTGCAACTAACCCAACCAACCAGTGCAACTAACCAGTGCAACCTCGTACAAAAAGGTTTTAGTGAACTAGTAAACTTAAAGAAGTGTATGAACGTGTGCGGTTACGGTGTAGTGAAAGTGGTACGGTAAACCAAGAACAGCTAATTAGCAATTACCGCACTGAATTTATCTGTAAACTCGGTTGAGTTAGGACATGCATGTCCAATAATTATTGTTCATCATACTGATTGCAATACGAGTTATACGACAATACCGGCATCTCTAATTAATACACAGCAGTCTGCTATGATGTGTAAGAGTACCGTGTACGTATATGTCGTACGTACACTCATACATACAATATTACACTCACAACAACATTAAGCACAGCACTTGAAAATCAACGGATCCCAAAAAAGCAGTGTTGAGGTCAGCAAAAAGACGCAATTGCAGTGCACTAATGGTCAACAGTGCAGTAATTGTCATAGGTGAACTTAATCGTATTTAATTGCTCCGTGACGATAAACTGAACCGATATGGACTGCAAAACGAAACCGCCACATCTATAGTGAGCATCATAAAATAATTATCATCGAAGATTATTAAACATGAATTATTTCTCAAAATTATTGACTGAACGTAAAAGCATCGGCATCGGTGCGAAAATAATGCCTGGCTAATATACATGTACAATAACATGATGGGGAACAATTATGCCAACTGTACGCCTACACGGCACAATAATAACGAACATTTGAAAGCACTTTTAATGGGAATCCACAGTAATCACCCGTATTAACGTGTTCCTTTCTTCTGCACACACATTTGTTAGTAGTAACTGTACTGCAGTAATATTTCTCAGAAGTAACTGTACTGCAGTTCGCTACAGTTTTTCCACCTTCACCCAGACGCCCTTCTCCGTAGACATAAAGCCAACCTCGTCTTTCAGCACCAACGGCACCTGTTGAAAAAAATGAAATAGCCCTGTGCTGAAGAGAATGAATAGGATGCTTCACACTTCACGGCCCAAAACGCTACCTGGGTTTTTGAACTCTGGACAAAACGATAGTTCTTCAAAATACTAGCCATCACCATCTTGATTTCGTACAAAGCAAACCGCATCCCGATACAATTGCGCGGACCTTGGCCAAACGTCATGAAAGAATACGGCTTGATATTTGCTCTGTTTTCCTTGGAAAATCTGCAAAAGCCATATTATTAGAACTTAAAGTAATGGCAGTTAATGAAATCCAAAAGCATAAAATTTGGTAGAATCTTAACTGAAAATCGTTAAAATTACCTTTCGGGATTGTAAACTTCAGGTTCGGGCCAGTTCTCCGGATCCCGATGGATAGCAAAGATTGGTATCGCTACAATTGTGCCTTCTTCATACGTGACTCCTTCGTATGTCCATTCTGCATTGCATGAGCGCTCCGATCGGGATATCGGTGGAAACAGTCGCAGCGTCTCATTGACACACTGATCCAGGTACGTCATCTCCGCCAGATCATCATACTCGATGGTGTCCTTACCGGCTAAGACCGTTCGAATTTCCTTTTGCAAACGCTCTTGAATATCTGGATTGGTGGCCAAGCAGTAGGTCATAAAGGTTAGTGTGGTGGCCGTTGTTTCATAACCGGCCAGGAAGAAGATAATGGCTTGCGCCACAAGCTCTTCGAGGGAAAGTTTATAGTTGGAATGGGAGAGAGGTTTCTCTTGACTGCCACTGAGTGCCATGGCGGCCGACGCCACGTCCGATTCGACTTCGTTATGGACCATGGTTGCGGTTTGGGTTGGCTTGGTGTCGGTAACGGCTTCATCCGATTTCATGGAGTTCAGCATCAGTTGGAGGAAATCGCGTCGGTTCTGGCAGTTGTTAAAAAATGCTTTTACTATACTCGTAATATTTACAGTTGTGATTTTTATGTCGCAATCTTGCCTAAAGAGTCAGCTTTTAGAGCAGCTTTAGGCTTTCCTTCTTTCTTGATTGATAAAAGCGGTTGCAATGAATAGCTTACCTGCTTGGATTCTTTTCGTAGCCGAATTATCTGCTCTGTATTTCTGACGAAGAAATCAGTAGCCGTTTTATCGAAACTCTGCATTCCTAAAAACTTCATCACCGGCTTTAGTTTTGGGACAAGCACTGTAAAGGAACCCATACGCTTTGGCATCTTACGCGTCGCAACTGCGAATACGAATGACTAGCAACCTACTGGCAAGGAAGACCGACATATCGGTAAACGAAAACTCGAAAATCTTCTTGGCATGCTTTACAAAACTGCTATTCGGATCTTCTTGGGAATTAATCTTGGTTGCGAAGAAGGTCGTAGCGATGACGTCTAAGGTCAACCGACCGTATAACCTAGTCAGAACAAAATTAATCGGTCAAGAAAAATCTTTCGATTACTCTCCGTACATCGGATTAGCATGAATGTGATAAATGTAGAGTTCCCTACTCTTTTGCCGAGAATTCTTGGCCACTGACAGCGAATTGATCGATCTTCCTCAAAAGATCATCACAACATTCCTTGATCAAGTTGTTCATCTACAGTAATCAGACAATCGGACGAAACTGTAAGATTTTCAGCACTTTGAATTTTCAAAGAGTGATACTTGCCTGCTTTAATTTGCCGGAAGTAAAAGCCGGTAGTAAGACACTACGTATGTCCTACAAGAAATGAATCCGTTAAACTGCAGTAAACAGTATGTACCTGTATTAGACGCAGGTACCTTCCAACGTTGATCCTTTATTTCAGTCAGATTCAGCTCCATAACTGGTCCACTCACTCCGAAATCCTATTGCGATAATGGTGTGAATACGAAGAGCAACTACAGCAAAAGCGATCGATAATGGGATCGTACTTACTCGTCGGTTAACGAAGTGGGAAAAATCTTTCACCAAGATGTTTTTCAACATCTCTGTCACCGAAAAAAATTATTAATTTCATTCGGGAAATTACTTCAAGGCGTACTGAAATACCAAGATCAGAAGTGACGATGACTGGAGTTGGCCCATCAAAGTATCTGCAAACGTTATCAGGTTTCGTGCTGATAATGTCATTTAAATTACTTTACAATCTTTTGCAGTAAATAGTTTTTTACCCAAAGATCCGTCCTAGTTTTTTTGTCCATTTGAAATCGAAGGCGCTTTGTCCCGTCTGAAATAGCATGGAATAAGCTACAGAGGTACACTAACAGCAGACGATATGACATTGTACAAGTAGCAAAACAAAGCGGAGGTTAAAATGCAGCAAAACATTGCGACCCAAGGCCCATTGTGCTACCCGCATTGCATCCAGCAGACTGCCTAATAACGGGACTGGTGTCAGCGATGGAATTCCCTTTTCAGGCCAGTACCGACTTTTGCGATACGTGTCACTGAAAACAGAATAACATAAACTTAGTAAACTTTACGTCACAAGCACTTCCAGATCTAGAAAATTATAAAATGTACTTGATGTATATCTACTTACTATACGAAATAACCAACAAGTCCCGCCAGGGATGCGGCTATCCAGAAAAGCGCCATCCTCGAATAATTGCAGGTTGCAAAACAAAACAGTCTGCTGAAAAATGAAATGGATTCAAAACCGTCGCTGATTAATATTCTAATTTTCCCCAGCCGGTGGCTGACAGCAAAATCACATGATTAGATAGAATAGTCTACAAGTTCACGATTGTGATAATGCCAGTTTGCCGATTAACATCGTTTATTCTTTGCCATTCTTGATAGTGGTCATGGTACAAGCTGGAATAAAAAGCTTGGTAGATACAGTGAGTGATTGCCTTAGGGCTTAGGCTGAAAATGTTTGGTAAGAAAGTGTAATGAATGCTGTTCTGCAACCTGACCTTGAGCTCCAGACTGCGCACAGTGTTAGCTAGCAAGCTGGTGCATGTAACTGAAAAAAGCCGGCAAACAGTAATCGTGCACAGGCAGCACAGCAGTACCGGTACCACAGTATGTAGCGCTTTTGAATAAAACATTTGATGAAATATGAAATAAGCATCCGGCAATGTAAATATAGATAAAGCTAAAAAAGCCGGATCCGCAAAGAAAAGCGTTGAGGTCAGCAGTCTGGAAGCACATATCCTGCTGAGCCAAGGTGCCGAACTTATGATGATGTAAAAATTCACGTTTCTGTGCAGTGTGCACCTTATTCTGCACATGTACTGAACAGGCGAAATTACTGAAATCACACATATATCACCGTTTTTCGTCATGGCCCACGATTTGCATATAGATTACATATTAATTTAAGCTATAAATGTCTGCAGCTGTGAGGCGGTTCACATGCTGCATGGTTTTTTCAAAAAAAAACTTTGCAGTAATAAACTCGAAGTTTTAGGGATTATTGTTGCATGGGTATTTGCTGGTTGACGTTTGTAATCGCCTGCCTGAAAGGGATCGCTAGTAAAGGTACCGAAAATGCAACAATACAGTACATACTACATATGTAGGTTTGTATTTCATTCCTCCTTTTTAACGCCACAGTTGTCATTTGAAAGTGCTGATTAAACATACACTAAGCATAGCAGGTTTTGCGAAAAAACAGATGAACATCTTGAAGGAAGATGTCACTAACGCCTGTTCGGCTACAGCTTCTCCACTTTGAGCCAAACGCCCCGTTCGGTCGACATGAAGACAATATCGTCTTTAAGGACTAACGGCACCTGCGAGAAAACAACCAACCCGGTCAACATCCGGAACACTCTGTGTCTCGGAGGAAGCCCATACCTGCGTTTTGGGGCTGCGGACGATCCGGTATTTCTTCAGAATACTCGCCATAACCATCTTGATTTCATAATAAGCGAATCTCATCCCGATGCAATTACGTGGACCTTGACCGAATGCCAGGAAGGAATACGGTTTAATGTTACCCTTATTTTCTTTGGAAAACCTGCAAATTGTATGCTAAAGAAGAAGTCTATGATGTCCGCTCCATATAAACCTTTCCGCATAACAACCAATAAATTTCAATTAGGAAGTTTATGTACCTTTCGGGATTGTAAACTTCCGGTTCCGGCCAGTACTCGGGGTCCCGGTGCACCACCAAAATCGGCACGCCGATCACCGTCCCTTTCTTGTACTCCACCCCGTCGTACGTCCAGTCCTCGTTACAGTGCCGATCAGTCCTCGAAAAGGGCGGATACAATCGCAGCGTCTCGTTGACACACTGATCCATGTAGTGCATGGCCGCCAGATCGTCGTACTCGATGACATCTTTACCAGCCAAGACGGTCTGTACTTCGGCGCGCAGACGCTCTTGAATATCCGGATGCACCGCCATACAGTACGCCATAAATGTGATAGCAGTGGAAGTCGTTTCGTAACCGGCCAGGAAAAAGGTGGTGGACTGCGCGGCCAGTTCCAGCATGGAGAGCTTATAGTTGGAATGGGAGAGCGGTTTGTCCTGGGTACCACTCAGGACCATGGCCGATGACGCAACATCGGCATCGGTGTCGTTATGGACCACAGTGGTGGTATCGCGATGGGCAGGTTTTTCGTGCGTATCAGATTTTAGCGAGCTCAACATCATTTGAAGAAAATCTCGTCTTGTCTATATATGAAAACAGTCGTAGTGACGATCATCACTGGCTTACTGGGAAATCTACGTGTGTAAAGATAACTTACTACAGAGTCTGGTTTTACCAGATACATTTTGTTTTGTACCTGTTTGGATTCTTTTCTCAATCGGATGATCTGTTCCGTGTTGTCGACGAAGAACTGCACAGCCGCCTTATCGATATTCTGAATTCCCATGCGTCGCATCAGCGGTTGGAGTTTTGGAAACAGCACTACAGAGTACATGAGATTTCAAAAAAATGGAGATTTCATTGAATATTTTGAATTAGGCTTCAAGGTCAAACGATGCGAACCATGCGAGTTAGCGCTTACCGGCAAATAAAAGAGGCACATAAGCGCGGGAAAAATCAAAGACTTTCCGGGCATTTCGGACGAATCCGCTGTTTGGTTCTTCTTGGGAATTAATTTTGGTGCCGAAGAACGCGGTAGCGATGACGTCCAATGTCAACCGACCAAATAATCTGCACATGTGAACAATAACATTATTATTATCCCGATGATGGACGATCATTGTTTAGCCTTGACCATACTCTTTTGCCGCAAATTCTTCTCCAGTCGTTGCAAGCGTTTCCAGGTTTTTGAGCAAATCACTACAGCATTCTTGAATCAAGCTATTCATCTGGAAGAGAACCACTGCTCATTCGAAATGCCCTTCCAGGGTGGATTTAAAAGACTATGCCACCTGCTTTAATTTTCCGGAAGTAAACGCTGGCACCAAAACACCTCGCATGTCCTGCAGAATGGTTCAAATAGTGCTGGCTATAAACATACCGTTCCAGAGGGTTACCTTCCAGTGTTGGTCGCGGAGCTCTATTAAAGCTAGCTCGATGATGGGTCCGTTAAGTCCCATATCCTAAATTGGTGAACTGCGTTTCAAATTTTCCTTGGCGATTATTGTCATGGTGGGGAAGTTTTACGACTTACTCGCCGGTTAGCAAAATGTGTGAAGTCCTTGACCATAATGTTCTTCAGCATATCTGATATTCAATCAAGGTAAAATTTAAACTATTTTTAGCGAAACAAATATTAAATGCATGCTATCGTTTTACCCAGATCGGACGTCACTAATACTGGAGTCGGTCCGTCGAAATACCTGCAACATGATTTCGTTAGGCATAAGAAAGCAGCCACGCGGTGTCACAAATAACGCCTACCCGAACGTGCGGCCCAACTTTTTCGTCCATTTCAAATCGAATTCTCCTTGCCCCGTCTAGTGTAAAATTAACAAGGACGTAATATACGGCAGTTCAGCGATATCACATTAAATGTGCTATGTACTCAATTTCATCACCCGTAAAAACCGAAAACCAAAGTTGTTTTGCGCAAACTCAAAAGAAACTGCGAAGCTATTTAAACTCGGCTTTTTAAGCAGTTTTTTACCGCGACTTCGTCGATTAAACTTCCGAAAAGTGGAATCGGTGTCAAAGTCGGGATTCCTTTCCGCGGCCAGTACTGACTTTTGCGAAATGAATCGCTAGAAAATTAGTCGAATACCTCTTAATGAATAACGTAAAAATTTTTAATAAAACGCAGTTTCTAAGAACGCTCACAGAGAATTTTTACTCACTATACAAAATAGGCAATAATCGCTGCGGCGAAGATCCATATAAAAAACGCCATGTTGGTAAATAGAACATCGAGTTCGGCACATTTGGCCACCTAATCAGTAAAACTGACATGCTGCTAAAGTTATCGCATCTTCTACCACAAAGCACGCACGTGAGAATGTGGTTGTGCATCCGGTGTAATATTGTACAAAGGAGTAATCAATAAACTGATTGAAAACCGTGTGGCCGATAAGACCCACATATAATCGACGGTATCAGAAACAGGCAGCGTAACGGTCGATGAGTATTAGCCACCGCTGTTGCTTATTTTGCTGTCCTAATAATTTAGCACAGCAGAAAAATTTGCTTGCCTTGATTTACAACTAAACTGTAAGGCAGTACGCGCTCGCTAAAATATTCAAGGGTTTGCAAAGCCGCCATCTAAAACGATTGCTGCATTACCGTTTGAACAACGCTCCGCCAAATTTCAAGTTTGCGTTCGTAGTGTACTATACTGTACTGTGACATGGTGGCTGAAAATGCAAAACTTTAAGATACCTACGATGCAGTACAGAAAGACTGTCTCACGAGTGCAATTACTGCAACAGCCGGGGAGTAGTGTTTATGTACAAATTGCGCGTCACAGCATATGCATCCGTAGAGCATCAGTTACGGTACCATAAGTAGAAATTAGGTATTTTGCAGTTCCACAAAAGCGTAACTGTGTGTTCGGTTTATATTATAGCTGATCCACAAATGTTCGATTTATAAACATTTCCCCCTTTGATATGCCTAAAGCTGTAGCAAACTGGAAGCAGTACCGTACAAAACTGATGATTTGCTCGTACACAAAAGTACACGGAATACGTAGTGCTCCTCTGTATTGTACAGAAAGATATAGATGTACACACATTTCGGAAACCGTGAGTAAATGTGTGATTCTTGTTTTACCAGTTCAAAAGCGCCGCTTAAAAATCAACTGGAATGGTTTTGGTACAGTTGTTATATTAACCGCGACATTCTGCGAGGAAATATGCACACCATCAGGAACAAGCAGATCAAATTTATGCAATATGTTAGTCAGCACTAAAAATAGTTCCGCTTGGCCCATCGCTTCCGCTGGGCACGCCCGTTTTCCTGCGAAAAAACAACATTCGAACCTTTTCAATTTGTGCATACCACAACTTTTGCAGAACCCTGTTCATATTGTATGAAATCAAGCGTACCCAAAGAGAAATGGATAACATAAGGAGATTTTGCAAACTTCCCGTCGCTATCCACAAAACGGGAGGGATCGAAAACTTCCGGTTCTTCCCACAATTTCGGATCATGATGGGCAGCGTAAATGTTAGGGATGATCAAGGTGTCGGCCGGAAAGATGTATTCATTGAAAGCGATGGGTGCTGTTATCCGGTGGGGAACACTCAACGGGACAACCGGAATAAGTCTTTGGATTTCCGTAATTACGGCTTCGGTATAAGGCAAATGGCCTAACATATGATGAAACAATCGCATCTAATGATGAACACCGCAAATAAAATTATGTACCTTTATGCTTGACAAGAATCTGCTCGTTTCGCTCGGCGATTGTGTCCAATTCTGCGTGAACTGTGCGCACCACTTCGGGATTTTCTACCATGAGGAGTAACCCAAACAAGATGGAACTGGTGGTAGTCATGGTACCGGCGCCGAAAAGATCAGAGACACAGCGTAAAAGCTGTTCGTCTAAACATTTTAGAACAGAACCAGTAAAAATCGTCTAATGATCAAAATTAATAGTTACGTCGTTTTCTGACACACACAAAATTTCTAGCAACCTTTGACAAGACATCTTCAACTTGCAAGTACATTCTGTAGCTCTAATAGCTTCCACGTACCGGTGAAGGTGGTATCAGCGCCTTCGCCCTGTTGACGCTTCCTTTCTTCAAGATACAAATTCACATAATCCAACCGCTGTCCGTCTTTGTTGTCAGAGCTTCTTGTGTCATCTATAACGCGTTGCATATGTTCGCGTCTAATTTGTACGACGTTCATTCGTCGTTGGTACACTTTTCGGAAGGGTGGCACGAATCGCAGAATAGGGAACACATCTAGCGCGCTCATTTCACTGAGCTGCTCTTCACATTGATGTTCATTCCGCAATAACGCGCGAAAATCTTCATCATCGTAATTATAACGTTTTCCAAAGGCAGTAGCACAGATCAAGTTGGAGATGGTTGTAATAACTAGATGATGCGGATTAATCGGCTTTTCGTTGGTGGCAGCTAGAGCCTTAATTAATTGATCGGTTTCGTCCAGGATTTGTTCCTGCAGCCACGATTTGCCCATGCCTAGATCCCGCAAAGCCGATAACGCAAAACGGCGATGCTCTTTCCAAAGATCACCATCGCTGAACGCCAAACCTGAAAACATACTTTAAATTCATTCCTCAAGAATCAGTTAACGGGCGTGTATCTTACCGGCATTTCCTCCTAACATCGAATCCAGCTTTGTATTCCTGGGGCGTCCCGTGGTTTCTTCCAGGCTTAAGAGTTTCCTGATGCTTTCATAATCGTTTAATACAACAACCAAATCGCGCCCCAGATGCAGTCGAAAAATGGATCCATATTGTTGCGACATGATGGTCAATGTCACTTGTGGCTGACTGCCGAGATACATAGAACTACCAACTATTGGCAACTCTGAAGAGTTATGAACAAAATTGTGAGTACTATGATCAAATTCGTACGCTCTGCTATTATGTACAAATACTGCAAAACTAGAACTTGCTGATTTAACTGTGGTTCCTCATCCTCATCTTTAACGTTCCAGCGATTTTTGATCGCGCAAAGCAGTAGTTTCGATAATAATACTTACCGAATCGCGGACCAGGTGGAAGACGGTATCTTCTCCGAACGTTTTTCCAGAGCATCGTAACGACGAAACAGATTCCCACGATATAAAACGCCAGAGGCAGCATCGTCTTTACGCACCTTACAAGGATTATGGAATAAGGAAACTGGGTTATTTTAGTGTGTAGGTACATACGAGCAGCGAGCAAAATTACCAGATCAAAGTGTCGTGGTTCCAGTTATAGTGGTACACTGGTGCACGCTGCCATTACGTGGTTGTCATGTTAGAATTTTAGTTACAGTACTTTTACAAGTTAAGCAGGGCTCAACCGCTTGAGATAACGATCTATCGTGCACTGTAAAACAACGATGAGAAGTAAAAACAACACACTAAGGGAGTGGCGGGTGAATAAACAGAAAAGTGACTGAACCAGTTTATTACAACTTGTGACAACTCACCACTGAAACAGCTACCTAACTGTCTCGAGCAGACAGAAAGCTGGAGTCCATTGTTCTTCCAGTGCAAAACAGGGCACGCACTCGCAAAAGGGTTTCACGGTCAGTTAGAAATCCTCCTCGTGATTTGTTTAAACATTTTGTAGCAGTACATGCACAGATACATAGATCGATGCATTACAATAAGCACGGCATTTTGCGATATTGCATTTACTGTTTTTTTTTTGCAGGATTACAGCCGACATGTTGCAAGACCGTAAAAACTAAACCATAGCTATTTTATTGCGTGGCGTTCAAATCCATATCAGGCTAAATGTCGTGTGCACGACAACTTGATATTAACGGAGCAAGAAAACTTTTGATCATAAAAAGAAACATTGGTATTACCCTTATTTCTTTAAGTAATGGCCTGTCCGCGACCATTGTAGATTATATTCAAAATGATGGAATAGCCCTATTGACATGAGTCCATGACATTTACTAATACGTTTTGATTTGTGCACCGACGGAGATTTATGATTTTCGACTCACCGAAAGGGCTAAAAATTACCAAAAACTAGTGCATTGTTCCTGTTGATGGTTGCTACTTGCTGTTTTCCACCACATTACCGTATTTATTTAATCTGAGCACACTCAGCTGCATTACCAATACTATTGTTTTTACGATACGAATGTTGTTTTTTTTATTGTTGTTCTTATTATTATCTGACCAGACTAGCGAGTGCCTCAGGGTTTGTCTGCTCTTGAATAAACTAAACTTAGAAAGTTATTATTTTTCCAGGCTAAACAAAATGCGTTATACGCGTAAAACAAGGTGATAGCCATATGACTCACTGAACGCATATCTTTATAATTTATAGGTATGGATGGAATCATAATGTAAGCATATACTATATTTAATAAGAATAATGTAATGAAGGTCATCGCTATAATGGGATGACAGCTGTTCTGAACTGCCACAGTTTAACAAACAGAACTGAGTATGATAACTGATGAATCATCACGACCCAGCGAAGCAATGCAAGTTGCCAGCTGCCAGTGCTCCCTGCTCCCGCAGTGAAAATTACCACTGTTCAGTGCGAAAGAAATTACTGAAATTAAAGCTAGCACCGCTTGATGATCTTGCAGCACCACTGAGTACCGAGAGTTACTACCCTAGGGAACGCAAAACAGTATCAAGTATAATCGCAATTGAAACTTGTTTTTGTTTCGATGGCTATTTCCGGCGAAAATAATTAAGTAACATATCGCCCGCCCAGGACGCCGAAAGCACGCCAAGGAATTAAACTACGCTTACCTTACAGTGTAAAACATATACTCCAGGGACGTTTTTTGCAAAAAGATTATTACAATACAGAGTACCTTTCGGTCTTCGGTCTGCTATGACTTACCGCATGAAAAGTAGGAAATCTGCACATCTCCTTCTTTCCAGACAACCCTTTATCAGTCTTTCTTGTCCAGTTGTGCCATGTTGACATTGCAGGACCAATCGGACCTGCAAAGTCAGATTGGCACAACTCAACGATAAAGACACATAGATGGTTCAATCGAAAGGACATGCAAGATCAAGTTGGCACAACTGGATTATCGTCGCTACAAAGCGGCATATTAGCCGCGTATCTCCACACGGGATGCATTGTGTTAAAATATACTCGCATCGTAGTTCTGACGACCAGCTTTAACACTAAATAAATTGTCAGGCAAGCACGTAGCCATTTAAAACAAATCTTGTGCAGCTCAGCAGATGCAATCTCCTTTACAATAAACGGGAATCCTTATTTAATCGGGGAAATTTTTTTGTGGAAAGGACGTCCTTAATACGGCAGTGCAAGAACCACTAGACTGAGTGCAATATCCTGGCAGGTGGGCTGACGTCAAAATCGCATCCGGTTACGGGGAGTGAGCATTGTTAATCGTGGTAATTATTTGCAGAAAGGATTCCTCTAGGATGGCATGTGAGGATCACTAGACTGAGAGGAATATCCTGCCAGCTGGGCCAATGATAATCACAAAGTATGATTGGTCTGTCGGAACATGGTCCGGGTGGAAGCAATACATATTTTCGGTAATTTGGGGTAAGTACATTCGTAGGGTTCCTACTTCCGTGATTGCCCAACAGGTCACTGCGCTAGATCGTGTTAAGATATATCAATGCTACCCGGCCACCTACCGGCAGTCCTGTCGAGTCACTGCCGGCAAATCAGCAGTGTGACCGCGATAATATGGTGATAGTGATCCACTAGTGAGTGGTGTTTTTGCTTCCCAAAAAAAATTGTTGACGATTAATTCAGTATCAGTAACTGGCTTTTTTTTCACAGGTTGGCAGTTTGCAAGTAAGTGGGTATCCGCGTTTTCACCAGCATGTATCTGTACTTTGTTTAATCGCTGATTATAAAAAAGCACGTATCGTCCCACTTGACGTCTGACGGATGGAACAATTTAGGCACTTTAAAAAGGGTGGATGGATACACTGACTCATAGAGTATATTTATTATCTTGTGTTGAAAATAATAAGCGGTATTAAAATCGAACAAGGGCTAACTCGGTAAGCGACACCAAGGTACATAGGGTTTCCCTATATACTTAACCCTACATACCTTGGCGACACTTAAATAACAGCATGCCGGGTTCAGCGGGAAGCCAGCATTACATTATTGTCCCTAACAAGTAAGAAGAGTAACGACGGGGAAGCCGTTAATTCTATAGTCTTCCAAGACGAAGATGGCTTTGATCATGCGCAGAAACCAGTTCCTGTGACACGTGCTCTTCCACGTGACCACGTCTCGTAGTCGTACCAACCCATCAGGATTTTACCAACCCATCAGGATGGGCAGAGAAAGAACGCCGGCACGCCGTATTGGCAGGCGAACCGTCATGAAGTACAGGTCGGCACTGGTATTTTCTTAAATTCGCTATAATGTGCAAGTACCCAGTTACATATGTACCCATATGGACAACACCGCATGAAAATGCAGTACTACAAAATTTATAGTACTGTGTTTTCTGCAATGAGTCAGTGTAATCAATAATTTTCGGTACTATTAGTACTAACTACTACCTACTACGAGTGCCGAAAATTATTATCTCTGATTAAGTAATACTTGAATCATGCAAATGAAATTCGATCAAAAAAGTCACTGATTTCATAATTTAATGATGTCACTGATTTAATAATTTAATAATCCGTCGGTTTAATGGTTTTTTTTTAAACTCTCGGGCTATCGATTTTCAGTGCAATATGGAATGGATTTTCAGGAGCGTTCTAACATGGTTTGCACTTTACACACGACTTACCTATACAGAACATGCTGGGAAGAGATTAGGGCAGTAGCGTACGTAATTCAGACCTATGGAAATAATGTGGAAAAAATGCTGAGGGTTTATGCAAATGTTAATGGGGCAGGCTCCGCATACCATCTTTATCACCTTTGGCTCCGTTTTGAGCATAAATGTACCGCAGATTCCGACAGGAAAGTTTACGCGGCTCTTCTGATAATAAACCATAAACCCGTAAACGTTTCTGCCGGCTACACATGCTGGGTACAAGTATAATAACCGTTCAACCTAAGTATAATACCTTAAAGCGCGAAAGTATTAACGATTCGCATAAGTCTCCAATGCCATTATTTTGGGCGGACAGAATGTAGATACTTCTAGTACCCTTTACAATTTTATAATGTCGAGCAAATAACTATTATTTTATTTGATCTCATTGTACCAGTTTATAAGCGCCGCCTAAAAATCAACTGGAACGGGTTTGGAACAACTGTTAAATTAACCGCCAAATTCTTCGAGGAAACATGCACACCCTCGGGAATAAGCAAATCAAATTTATGCAATATATTGGCCAGCACCAAGAAGAGCTCCGCTTGGCCCATTGCTTCCCCTGGGCACGCGCGTTTTCCTGAAAACATGGCAAAAAAACTCTCAGTTTCTGCTTACTTCTTTCAGAAACTCCTATGTATAATGTACGGAATAACCTTACCCAAAGAGAAATGGAGGACATAAGGGGATTTTGCAAACTTCCCGTCGCTATCCACAAAACGTGAGGGACTAAAAGCTTCCGCTTCGCCCCACAATTTTGGATCGTGATGAACGGCGTAAATGTTGGGAATGATTAAAGTGTTTGACGGGAAGATGTAGTCGTCGAAAGCGATGGGCGCTGTTGTCCGGTGAAGAAGACTCAGTGGGACAACGGGGATCAGCCGTTGGATTTCCATGATCACGGCCTCGGTGTAAGGTAGATGGTCTGTTGGACGATATTGTTATAGCACAAATGGAAATGGAAGTGAACGGAAATACAGACATTGCCTTTATGCTCGACAAGAATCTGCTCGTTTCGTTCAGCCACCGAGTCCAGTTCTGCTTGAACTTTGCGCAAAACGTCGGGGTTCTCCACCATGAGCAGCAAACCAAACAAGATAGAATTTGCAGTAGTCTGGGTACCGGCGCCGAACAGGTCAGCCACACACCGTAAAAGCTGTTCGTCTAAATGTTGCAAAAATGGACCAGTCAAACAGAACAGGTAATTTAATTTGACAAACACATATGTCGGTTACTCTGGCAGAAGTCATCTTTTGATATGACAGACTTGCAAATTCTAAAATAAAAAAGTTTCAGTCATACCATCGAAGGTAGTATCAGCGCCTTCGTCCCGTTGGCGCTTCTTTTCTTCCATAAACAAATTCACATAATCCAACCGCTGTCCGTCTTTGTTACCGGAACTTCTCGCATCGTTAATAACACGTTGCATATGTTCGCGCCTGATTTGAATGACCTTCATCCGTCGCTCAAAAACTTCTCGAAATGGCGGCACGAAGCGTAGGATAGGAAATAAATCGAGGATGCTCATCTGACTCAGCTGCTGCTCGTACTGATGTTCATTCCGCAATAATGCGCGAAAATCTGCATCGTCATAGTTGTACCGTTTCCCGAAAGATGTGGCACAGATCAAATTGGAGATAGTTGTAATAACCAGGTGATGCGGATCAATCGGCTGCTCGTTGGTGGCTGCGAGTGCCTCAATTAGTCGATTAGTTTCATCCAGGATTTGTTCCTGCAGCCAGGATTTGCCCATCCCCAGATCCCGCAAAGCCGTTAATGCGAAACGGCGATGTTCTTTCCAGAGATCTCCATCACTGAACGCCAAACCTGAAAACGCTCTATCGTCTGATAAATAACCCTAGCGGCACGTGGTTTCTTACCGGCATTCCCTCCTAACATTAAATCCAGCGTGGTATTCCTGGGGCGCCCCGTGGTTTCTTCTACACTTAAGAGTTTCTTAATGCTTTCATAATCGTTTAATACAACAACGAGATCGCGTCCCAGATGAAGGCAAAAAACTGGTCCATACTGTTGCGACATGTTGGTTAATGTCACTTGTGGCAGACTGCCGAGATTCATAGCACTACCAACAATCGGCCATTCTGCAGAATTTTAGAAAGATTATGCGTATACAGTCTTTTGGTAATAGTATGTACTGCAAAAGTACTGTGCTTTTTAAGTTTCAACGTTCTAAGAAAACCTGACATTAAACAGGTAAAATCCGCAGCTTTGGTGAATAATACTTGCCGAAACGCGGACCAGGAGGAAGACGGTATCGTCGGCGAAAGGTCTTCCAGAACATCGTAATGGCAAAACAAATCCCAACGATATAAAACGGAAGAGGCAGCATCGTTTTGAGCACTTTGCAATAATTATGAACTGGTGAAATTAGGCTATTCTAGCGTAGACCTCTTAACAACACATATAATTATGTAATACCTTCAGATTTAAATACGAGTGCCAAGACAAGGAATCAAACTTATGACGATAAGATAAGCTACAGATATGTAAAATATTTCTGTGAATATTTTCTCTGCCCGAAAATTAAGTGTCTCGCGATTTCAGGAAAAACATTTACCAAAGTTATCGTTGTGATTTAACTAGCGCTAGGCGCTACATGCTGTCGCTTTATTAAGTGGTTGTTATGTTGTAGTTTTTGTTACCCTTAAGCAACTGATTGATCGCTGGAGGTAAATATACGTAACTGGCTTGAACATTTTGTAGCTGTACCATTGTATACATCTGTATGTACGCAGACTTAATGACCGGTGAAAACAAATTGAATTATTTACAGCGACAGCGGCTTGTTTTGTGGATCAGTAGAATAACATGGCATTTTCCGGTATTGCCGGTATAGTTCTTTTTTGCCGCAGCGTTTACCGACAAGGAGTGTGATGCAGTAACCATTATACTATAAGACATACTGTTTTTTCTTGCTTTTCCTGGTGCTAAAATTCACATCAGGCTAAGCATCGCCTGTACGTAACGTGAAATTAGCCGATCAAGAAACCGTTTTGCATGACCATAAAAAGAAACATTTATCCCTGTTTCATTAATAGTTTGCTCGCGGCCACACCCAACATAACCCAAATCAATCGACAAATTCAATAGCAACATCCGCAATAATCTCTCAACAGATCCCGGAGAAAGCGTTTCACATTATCCATCGATATGGCGAACAATACCGGATTAAGTGCCGCTTGTAGCGACAACATAATACTACTAACACGCAACAGCGTATCCATGGCCGGCGTCATGGGATCCGCATAGTACACCGCCGTGAAGTACGCCTGCGACGGGACCAACGTGACAAAATTAGTCCACGTTACTAGTGTCAGGATGAAGAAGGACTGCGAGCGTTTTCGCGATGCCAGGGATTCGCGGACGGCGGAATCACTGGGTGGATTGGAGAGGGTCAACACCGGCGTGACCTTTCCAGGGGCCGGCGCCACCAGTTTCATCGTCAATCGGCGGATGGCCCAGCGTTTCTTCACCTTGGTGTAAATGTAAAAGTACGCCACAGCGCCCAGTAAAATGGGAATATTGAAGTTTGTCCACTGGGTGATGAGACCCCAGGAACGGAGGGGTGGAGCTTGGATGTTGATGGCGCAGCCGTTGGTCTCCACCGGCAGGCGGTAGGAGACGGCGTCCAGGAGGACGCCGGCACCCAGACAGATGTGGACATACAGCCACATGGAAAGACAGATGAGGACGGCGCCGCGGCGACTGTGGTGGATGCGATAATGCACCGGGAAGGATGTCGCCCATAGTCGGTTGATGGTGATCAGAGCCTGTAGAATTGCAATAGTGTAAAATAAATTTCGCTGGAAACACGGAAGGTTCTAATAATTATGTCATACGGAAAGGAAACTTTGGTATGCACGGCTTTTCTAGCTGGTTTTGACTTTCTCCATAAAGGGGCCGGGCTTCACTTCAGCTACACATTTACTTTGCCAACTTGGATTTACGTCATCGCCATATAAGCTACGTACGTCAAAGTCGGCCAGACAAGTATAAGTGCAGTTGGATTTACTATTTAAGCGATTGTGTAAAAAACTGACACTTTCTTTGGCGAAATTCTGCCCGCCGCGTAATAAATAGATATCGATGCTCATAGCTGCGTCTCATTCTATGAAAAACCTGTTCTTACGATTTATCCCGTTGTTCTGCCGACGTTGGTGGACAAAAAGCTTAATCCATCGATTTAATTACAATATGTATATTTTGGGTAGAAACAGCATATCTACAAGTTTCATAAGAAATGGTACACTTCTGTTTATCTATATAGGCTCCCATAGAACAAATATCTATACCCAGAATGGTGTGAATATCAACACGCCAAATTTCTATAAGCTGTTTACTTTGAATGCCAATTTAATTTGTTTAATCCGTCTGCATTTGAAAAGAAGGCATACAGCTGGAAAACAACGTATGAAAGAACTGGCTTACTAAGCCGCTCCAGGCAGTTTTAACAATTTGTTTAATGAAGACGGCCTGGATTGCGTAGATGCAAATCAGCAAATTCAGCACTGTTTTAGTTTGTGACATGCGTTCGTCCTTCTTCCGATTTAGTACACTATGGTGATCAATAGAATGTTGATGACGTTAATGGATAATATTTGGACAGCGTTACAAGAAGCGAGACACGTTAACTATGCTCACCGCCAGGGTTAAGTGTATGCACAGATGCAAGAGGATGGGGATAACCTGAAATCAATTACTGCCTGCTGTAGTATGTTACATGAGGGCCACCGAGAATCGATTAACTAACAGACACTCTGCTTCCGGACCCAGTGACAGCGACCCGCCTACTACCGGAAACGTGATCGAAGACCAGGCAGAAGCGCTACTTATGGCCAGTTAAGTGGATCTATGGGATTAATTTTTCATACCCCCTTTTTTTCTGGAAACCTCAGGGCAGCTAACAAGGTGTGCACCGCCTTATTAATAATTAAAGAGGTACTCTGCAGGTATGAAAAAATTTACACCAGCTGAAATTGACCTCGGCTATTGAGGAAACCACGCTTTCTTACCGAACACAGGCAATTAAAATATCGATTATCAGCTTTACCCAGTTTTTCCGGGATATGTATTTCTAAAAATAAATTCTTTGTAGCCATCGACTGAACACTGTAGAAAGCAAAAACAGGTCCGGATGTTAGTACGAAATGCCGATATGTATATTAATATGAGCGATTTTGCCGGTTGATTTTTCAACACAGCCAAGTACCGTATTTATCAGTTACCCTTCCCGAGTTAAAACCCCCCGAACTAAATCATTACCATTAATTTTCGAAAACATAAAAATCATGAGTTTAGTAACTGATAAAATGTTGCTTGTGGTATGTCAACCGAACGCTACAGCCTACAGGTTGCGTGAAAAAAGTGATAACAAGGTACTGATATTCATTAATCAGTAATGCAGTAAACGAATCACTGTGCAGTAGGTATTCACACTTGATATTAAAGCGCTTATCATGTTACCATAGATATTAATTTTATGATGTCTAACACACTGTCAAACTAAAGAACAGCCTAAGTAAAACGTGGTATGTACCAATAATTGAGAAACTGTAAAAAATGCTCATAGAAATGAATTACGTACTGCAGTTTAGCAAGCGCATGGAGCTGCTCTCTAGGATCGAATACACAGCACGCATATATCGGATAAGCCCAACAATTTTACATTCATAGACCTTACGAAATAAAAATGTATGCAACTTAATTGTAAATACGAGCAAATACCGTACCTTTGCAAATATACATTTGCAATATTGAATACATTTGCATAGCGCATTTCCTTCAAAAGCACAGTAAAAGTAGTATAAGAGCCGCAGATAAATAGCATAAATGATAAAAATAACTGCAAAACAAGCTACATTATACCTGATGCATAAAAATATGTGGTAAGTACTCTGTTCGTGATCTGTACGGGGGGGATTTACTTATTTACCTGCGCCGAAACCACCGCGCACGCCACGACATAATAAGCATACAGATACAGCGTACACACTGCCCATCCCAGATACCATGTGCTGTACACACTGTTGACAATATCCAGCGGATTTCCCAGAATAACAAAGAGAATATTGGCCAGCATCAGGTTAATTAGGTACACCGTAAAGGGCACCGCGGCATTTTCCCGCCGCAGTAAGACAATCAGAACCAATCCGTTGAGCAGGACCGTAGCGGTGCCGGTGCAGATGGTGACAATGGGTGCATATGTCCAGTTAGCAGTGAGCGATGCAGTGGTCTGATTGGGAGCATCAGGGGCGCTGCCATTGTCCATGGAGTTTACATCCTCTCGTTGATGATTTCACAGCAAAAAATCAGAAAGGCACCCATGTAAAGTCATATATCAACATTACCGGTGCGGATACGCGGGGATGCAACCGCAATTTTTGGAAACTTCCTGGCGTGGCAGGTATCCACATTTCTCCATAAAAGACAGTGAATTATGTAGGAGATTTCAAGCTGTTCGTCTTCACGCTCATCATTATCGCGTCAGGAAAAAACACGGTTAATGTATCCTGCCTGGAAGCGTGCGCGCTATATATGGTTATTTATGTATGAAACCGTCCCAGCATAATCCACGGATGCAGCCGCTGGTTCAGACTGTACAGTAGTTACAGCAGAAACATAAGCAACGTTAATTCTCACAGGTATCGATTTTATTTCGCTTGAATTGGCAGCGGATTAACAGGATGAAGTACACACTTGCCGGTAGACTGCAGATCGGAGGTATAGACTCTATAGTAGTACAATTACCGGTATGTACAATATCATTGGAGAAGAGTATAGAACAGATACCGGCAATATCCAGATCAGAGAACCACATTATTGGCTACTATTGAATGGAAGCAAAAATTACAAACTGCGCCGGGAGAAGACAACAGCGGCGGCTGTACAAAACAATGCGGACACCAATTCGATTCGAAACTTTTTGTATTTATTATTTTGAGTGAGGTGCACACGTCACAAGCACGTGTTTAACTAGGCTAATCGTCTGGAAAAACCTTCTGGACTAAATGAAACTGACAGTTGACGTGTAATGTCACCCCGCGTTCTGACGCCTTCAAATACCAAAGCGACCATGCGTATGAAATACGTCAACGATAGTAAAGACCTCTTAATGGGCGATAAAATAAAAAAAAAGTTTATGCAGCGATTATCAGGAATGGACTAATACCACTCTGCAAATATTGATGTAATAGGCAAAACTTTGTGATGACAGAAGTTTCGATAGACCTCATTCTTTTTATATCACTACTATGCAACTGCTCTCATTACCAATAATAAGGTAAATCGTACTGTTGCAAGCAAGGAATAAATGAAGCAATCATGCCCGAATCCAAAAAAAATATTTTCCTTTCTTAAGTTTTCAAAAATACCCATTAATTTGTCCATTTGTACTTGCACAGTTAGCAATCTAGTCGTTATGATTACATGTTATTTGTTTTACTGGGCGGTAGGTCGTGGGGTTTTTTCGAGTAATTGTTACTCTGCGACGTAACGCGTGAGTAAACTTTGCCCGCTGACGCTAAATTGCGCACTGCGTTTCATAATTCACACCTTGCTCTGGGTAAGTAGGGTATTTTCGGACTGCTGAACATTGGTGTATATTGTTTGTTTACGCATTATGAGCTTACTGATCTACGTGGGAGTCAGTATATTACGACTTTCAACGTGCATGCGACCGACCAGATAAATGCTGCATAATTAATAAAAAACACCCGGAACCGGCACCATCAAAAAGCTTCCAATGATCCTGTCCTCATTGATAATTCCATTAAAGTACACAGTCATACGTTATCGTTTCCGGCGCACATACAGCGCGTAGACAATACTTTAAACGGTCTCATTCTTTCCATTGGACACAAAAGCTAATGCGCGCGGCACGAAACGCTCCTGAAATTTTTTTACCGGCATCTTCTATCTAATAATTACATGGTTAATTACCGGTCAAATTGGCTGGCGATTTTTATGGATACTCAAATGTTCTTAATCGGTTATAATTTGTCGGTAAATTCGAATGTCTCCAGCCCGGTGTGGACGTATGTACCGATCACTACCATCTGTACCGGTTCGGTGACCATCATTTTGAATGTTCTGGTTTTGTGTTTGTTGTTGCGACGGGAGAATTCGGCGCTGCCCTTTACCGTGTATCTGATCAATCTCTTCCTGGCTAATATTTTATTCGTGTTGTTGGGCAATCCGTTAGATGTGGTTTATACTTTATACGGTGTGTGGTTTATGGGCGAACATCTTTGTACGCTTTATCTCTATGCATACAACGTTGTGACGTGTGCCGCGGTTTCCGCATTGGTAAGATGATCTTTTAATTATAGGTTGCACGGTAAATAGTTATTAGGATCGTATTTTGGGCGCAGGATATGAACACTACCAATGATTATTTTTAAACCAAAGTAACCGTGCAAAATCACGCAATATTCCGATAATTATTGCTTTTATTATACAATTGGTGGGGCAATACCGTCCACCACCGACTTTGTTGTTCCTCTAGAGATACGGATGTAATTATCATGACCCGTAATAGAAGAGAGATAATTATAGCTAGGCTATACGCTTTTTGTGCACCATTGTACGAGTATTACCATCAAACTACGAGTACAATAAACTGTATAATACAGCAAGTGCTTAGCCTTGGAACGAAATTTCTTTAGTACAACCTATTTGTGCTTAATATTTCGCACTGCATCAAGCAAGGCTAAAAAATAACTTTTGGTTTTATCGGCCGATTAACGGGACTAACAAAATGGAGATCGTTACAATTATCATGAATACAGCGTTTCATAAAGCTTTGAGAGGCTTTTCGGTTTTTGGGAGACTGGGGTTTGACTTTTGAGGACTAGATAATAGGATAATGGCACCTCGAAGAAACTGTAAAGTTGTTGGCAATAGACGCGCTGTAATGATGTACATAGTCAACCCTACGTCAACCCTTGCTTATACAGTATCTCAAGTAAAATCTTGCTTATACAGTATCTTAAGTAAGACTCATCGTAAGTAAATCATTAATTTATGTAGAATTTCGCGAATGCACTTTTTGTTATATTGATGGCTTTTGCCCAATAAATGTAAACAAGTGAAACTTTAGCGTACAATGCCATACTTTGAAGTATGAACTGTTTAACGATTAATTACACCGGCCGTCTTTCGGACCCCTCAGGCTAAGAAATTAGGCTTCTAACATTTCAATAATTGCAGGCTTTGATTACCATGAACCGTTTATGGGCGACCGCCTTCCCGGTGCACTATCGTCTGCACCACAACCGCCGCGTGGCCTGCATTGTCTGCCTGTTCACCTGGCTGTACGCGCACATCTGCATGGGACCGGGGATTTTTCTGGACGCCCTGTACTACCGGCAGCCGCTGGACAGCAACGGCTGCACCATCAACATCGACGTGGCGTCCCTCCGCAACTGGGCCATCATCACCCAGTGGATCAACTTCAATATCCCCGTGGTGTTCATCTTAATGGGATACTTTTACATCTTGTTCAAAATGCAGCACCGGCGAAACTTCACCACCCAGAGGTCACCAGATCTTGATATGAGTAATAGTCGGATGCACAGTGTCAGTGGGGTGCCGGATATGAAAAACGCCGAACTGGACGTTAGTCCGCGGGTGGCCAGTACGTCGGTCGTTAAGCACCGGCGGAATGTTCTGATGCAGCGGAAATTTCTCGTTTTGACGCTGTTGACATGGAGTAATTTCATCAACCTGATGCCGGCGCAGGTGTACTATACGGTGGCGTTCTGGGTCAATTTGAACGATTATGTCACGCTGTGGCGCGTTAGTATCATCATGATGTCGGCCAATGCGGCACTGAATCCGATTCTCTTTGGGATTTCCATGGAGACCGTCAAGGAATCCACGCGGAAACTAATGCGGTCACTACGGCGGCGGGTGTGGCCGTCGGTTCGCGCTGGCAGCCCACCGCAATAATGTTTCGACCTCGAGGTCACTTTGATCTATTACGGCTTTTATTTGAAAAACGTTGTGAACCTATTTACTTCGTATGCAAAACCAAGTGGGCCCTTTTGTTTGTGATGTTTCGTTGTTCGCAATATTTGTAACAACCAGTACTAAAAATGGCAAAGAGGAAAATCGAGCTAGTAACGCTCAGTATAAAGCACTTCACATTAGTTAAGCGATCAAGAACAACACCGGTTCTTTAATTCTAAGACACCGGTATCATTCCTAACTAAAAGCCCAATGACAGACATATATATCTAATGTTCGACATATTTTCCAAAGGATAACGGTATCAGTAAAACATCACGCATTGATAATCCAGAAGCTTCAGGCTGATCCGGTGGAGTTAGTGGACTGTCGCACTACCACATAATCGATAGTAAAACCAAAAGGGAGTTTGACATCCGGAGGAGCAACAGAAGGCATAAATTGCCCCGCATAACTGTTCAGCACAACCTACGACAATTAGTAATTTCCTTATTTTTCAGGTTTAAAATGCATAGACGGTGTACATGTATGTACATTCATTTCCGCAGGAAAGAAATCTAGCTTCCTTGATGAATTACATTTTATGAGAACTACCTGTGTATATAAAATCATATTCGTGATTGGTACCTGCATACGCACTCGGGGTACCGCCTCTCCAGTAATACTCCATACTGCGACGTCGTCAATAAACCAGACAAGTTGATCCGGTGTCCATGTTACCTTGAACACGTGGAAGTCCTGAGTGAAATTACTTGGAAGAGTTTTGAAATAGAGGGTCGACATTTCCGGAGGAGGCCTTGCTCGGGGCACATGGTCGGCGATGCTGGCCAGCGCTTCACCGCCACCGATAAAGACGGTTGCTTTCCCCGGAAATTCTCGACAAGGAATCGTAGTGTCACATTGAGAGTTTTGTAGCGTCACGGTCCCCCCGATATGCTGAATGTCTGCAGTTATCTTGGCGCGCAATTCCAGCTCTCCGTACTAAAAATAAGGCAGCACCATTTCAGTCTGATACATGTAGAAGCTTATTCGACACTGGTGTAATTAATATTAGCTTGAAAATATTCAAAGGATTCATTGCGCTTTGCTAGTTTCTCAGCATAAAAGCACATGCTGAAATGCGGCGATTAGCCTATTACCGGTGGTGCCCCGCGATTTCGTTGACGAAACGTCGACCGTCATTCGTCCGAAAAGACGCGATTTCGATCGGTCACGATGTCAAACTAACACTTAGCTAAACCATCGCAGTTTTCGACACTATACATAACGCATATGAACAGTGCATGCGCTTTTCTGCGGATATACCGTAAAATGCGCACATACAATAATTGTTATTTAGACAGCCCGGTACGAAAACCGTATGTATACCACTCGTTACATATCTTACAAAGTAGAATTGACAGAAAGCTTCGTATTAGAAAGGCTAGAGTAGTTATGACTGATAAAAGAACAGACTCAACAGAGTCATCCTATGCTATCAGCTTACAGCTACTGAAAAACTAATTCTCGCGCAGTTAGAAACACGTATAGTATCGAAATGATCATATCACTGTTTTGGCAAATGACATGCAGAACTGAAAATCATTTTCGCCTAAAAACAACCGTTAAATCAGTACTTGTGCCATAGTGCATGGCTGCTTACAATAAGTCCACAAGAGTAATTTAATTTCTTACCTGAAAATCAAACAAGCCTCGGGTGCTCACCCTCCCCGAAGTATAGTTGTAACCGTTGTATTGCTCATTTCGAGTGAATAAATGCAATAATCCGTTTTCCAGAGCAAAATTTTCCCTTCGAAACACCTGTCTTTCATTTCGAATATCAGCACCTGCAGCGGTCTGCTCTAGCTTCCATTTTGCCGGGTCAGGTGTTCCACTGCCATTAAAATCATCGCGAAAGATTTCAACAAAATCGTTGAGACCTTGATCAGTGTGTGAAACTGGTAAAAGCACACCGATTAAGAAACCCCAAATCACCGTTTTCATTGTGGTTCTGCCTTTCTGTATTTCGCTTAGATGCATAAAGAATTACCGATACTACGCTCTTATTAATTTTAACACAGTATACCGAGCAAGACGCGTACACTAAGTGTGTTGTATGTTGTGCCTGATTTCTTTCATGATACATTTTTTTCCCACCAGCTTTGGTTTTATCGGTCTATGGCATCAAGATGCAATCGAGATCGGGTGCTGCCAACAAAATCCAGAAATGCATTACCATGGAAGAGTTGCAGACAAAATAATTATATTCCTCTGCTGGGTTGCGCATCTGCGTTTTTCCCACAATTTAAATTTAAATACAGTACCTTTTTTGCTCGCGTATGACCAGTACGTCTGTCGTGAAGCACCGACGGAGTGTGCTGTTGCAGAGGAAATTTCTCGTTCTGACGCTTTTGACATGGAGTAATTTTATTTATCTAATGCCGGCGCCTGTGTACTATCTGTATGCGGCTTCGTTCTGGGTCGATTTAAACTATTACGTCATGCTGTGACGTGCTAGTATCATAATGATGTCAGCCAATGCGGCACTCAATCAGATTTTCTTATGGCTTATTACGGAGACCATCAAGGATTCCCCGCGGAAACTGGTGCGCTCATTGCGTTGACGAGCTTGGCCGTCGGTACGCGACAACCTCGCGTACGAATGTTTTTAGATACCGTAGATGTCACTTTGAATTATTTGGACATTTGTTTAAATGACTGCAAAATTATTTAGTTCGTATGCGTAGCCAAACATGCCCATTTGTTTTCGGTGTTCATTGCTAATACTTTGTGCATCGAAAGAGGAGCCTATCAATAACCTGCAACGCGAAAACATGAACTACTCGGCAGAGATTATAGATCATTACGTTATTAGAAATGAATGTATACACTATGGACAAAGTAATCATCTGAAAGAACACTGATCGGATTTCGCGCACATATAAAAACAGCCGCTCTTTTTAACAACCGAACAAAACCACAATCGCTATCTACAAAAATATATTGTACGCACGTATCCACATCCAAATAGACATTGAGGAGTCAAAGGCAGTTAACCCCGAAGCTTCAAGTTGATCAGGTTGAGCTAATGGGCTGGTCAGGTTGAGCTAATGGGCATCAATGTTGTGCGCAATCCAGTTGAGTTCCTCACTGCGTTGGAATACGTTCCAGGCCAAACGGGAGACCGTGGTGTGAACGCGAAAACATGAACTACTCGGCAGAGATTATAGATCATTACGTTACTAGAAATGAATGTATACACTATGGACAAAGTAATCATCTGAAAGAACAAAGCGTACCATCATATAATCAATTACAAAAATATTAGAAAATTTATCATTCGCAAGAGGAACGTCAAAGACTTGTTGGTTTGTAACTTGGCTGATAATATTCCAGCATAACCTGCAGCAATTTGAATTAACAGCCTCCGTTTAATTCTGCAGTCACTTCAGTAATAAGACAACGTGTGGTTCGATATATTGATACCGGCGAATGCTCGCTGTTTAATTGTTTTTCAGTGCACAAACTGTGGTGCGGTGTCACAGTGTGTACTGAAATCATAGACAAGCGAAAGTAGCACTTAACGATATCCTATCTACTCTGTAAAATAAAACAGCCAAATATTTCAGACTGTGGTTGGCCGGCACGGTTGTAGAGACACCTCAAGTTCGTAATCGCAAAAACCGATATACTGTCGCTGATTTGTAACGTAATTTTCTCCCCTCGTTTCTTGGACTAGGAACTGCTAGCGACCAAAAGCGCTGCCAACTGCAAGCTCAGAATTCTTTGTTCCACATGGCCTATCTCATTTTGATGCTTTTGACATGGAGTAACTTTATCAATCTGATGCCGGCGCAGGTGTACTATACGGTGGCGTTCTGGGTCAATTTGAACGACTATGTCACGCTGTGGCGCGTTAGTATCATCATGATGTCGGCCAATGCGGTGCTGAATCCGATTCTCTTTGGGATTTCCATGGAGACCGTCAAGGAATCAACGCGGAAATTGATGCGGTCACTGCGGCAGCGGATGTGGCCGTCGGTGCGCGCTAGCAGCCCACCGCACTAATGTTTGTAACTGGACATTGCTTTGATTTAACAGAATTGTTTATTTAGAATACTTTGTGAAATCGATTCACATGCTTAGCGCGCCATTTTTTAATGCTGTTCACTTTCACCATACGGCAGCTTAACAACAAATGGCAAAGAGCAGAAGTGAGCTGGAGATACTCTCTATAAGGTACCACGACATGGTTCGACAGTGATCAAAACAGTGATGTTAGCAGTGTTTTCGTCTGTGAGTGGCCGCTGCGTTCCTTACCGAAATATTAACGAAATTTTACGTTTATTTTCTGGATAGCGATATTAGTCAATAACATTCGATACGTCTGTTGATAATGCAGGAACTTCAGGTTGGCGTAGTTGCGTTTGATGATTGCCGTACTACCACATAGTCGATAATAAAATCAAATGGAAATTTAACATCCGGAGGAGCAACAGAAGGCATGAACTGGCCGGCATAGCTGTTCAGCACAACCTGCAACAATTAAGAATTTTCGTATTAATTAGACTTATGCAAAGACGCTTTGCTTTCTCTTGCGAAGTAAAAATCTAGCTTCGTAAGATGAACGTAATTTAATATGTATGTAATTGTTGTAATTTGTGGGTTGTACCTGCGTACGCACTCGGGGTACCGCCTCGCCAGTAGTACTCTACACCGCGACGCCATCGATGGACCAGTCAAGTTGTTCCGGCGTCCATGTTAACTTGAACACGTGGAAATCTTGACTGAAATCACTCAGAAGGTTCTTGAAATAAAGATTCGACATTTCCGGAGGAGGTCTTGCTCGGCGCACATCGTCGGTGATGCTGGCTAACGATTCACCGCCACCGATAACGACGGTTGCTTTCCCCGGCCATTTTGGACAAGGAATCGTAGGGTCACACTGAGAGTTTCGTAGCGTCACGGTCGCCCCAACATGATTAATGTCTGCAGTTGTCTTGGCGCGCCATTCCAGCTCTCCGTACTAAAAATAAACCACCACCATTTCAGTCTGATAGCAGCAGAAAATTAATGTCGACATTGATGCTAGTAATTCATATTAGCCTAAAAATATCCGAAGGATTCATTGCGCCTTATAAGAGTTTTGCATCATTCTACAGTCTACACTTACCGTTATATGCTATTACAGTTGGACTTTCTGGCCATACGAATGGTACCAGGCACTAGGCAGTGCGGCCAGCGTAAAGCGATAAAACATGCGCTGCCTAGAGTAGGTAAAGCCGTAAAGGTACTGGGCTTTCGACGTTCGCTAACATAAGTAGTCAGTATATCCGTATATAGCAGTTTGCAATCGGTATATACAGCAAAATTTTTTCACACGCTAGTAAGAACGCGTTTTGGAAAATTTTTTGTTATCTTGGCTCATCGGCTGCCTAGAACCGAGTAAAGTAAAGTTAAGCGCTGCCATCGAATTATCGAGTCCTAAACGGATGTTTACAACTTTACACAAGTACACGCGCATTTTCTGCTAATATAAAATGAGAGCATAATAATTACTATTATTTAGGCAGCGAGTTACAAAAGCCGTATGTATGCCGTTCGTTACCTATTTAATAAAGTAGCCTTAACGAAAAGCTTCCTTTTAGAAAGACTAGTTGTGACTTGTGATTAACCAAAGAACAGAGGCATGCTACGGTACTACTCGTACATATGCTTACAGCTTCCGCTTGCACCCATTCAAAAATTAATTTTTGCGCAGTTCGAAACACGGATAGTAGCTTAATAATCATAACAGTGCTCTGTCAAATGATAGATTTAAACCATTTGCGCATGAAAGCTAGCGTTAAATCATTCTGCACAATGCACATAGTGCTTGTCTGCTGACAATAAATTCACAGGAGTAATTTGATTAATTTCTCACCTGGAAATCAGAAAAACCTTGCGTGCTCACCATCCCCGAAGTGTAGTTGTAACCGTTGTATGGCTCATTTCGAGTGTATAAATGCAATAATCCGTTTTCCGAGGCAACATTGTCCCTTCGATATACCTGTCTTTCATGGGGAATATCAGCACCTGCCGCCGTCTGCTCAAGCTTCCATTTTGCCGGGTCAGGTGTTCCACTGATATTAAAGTCATCGCGAAAGATTTCAACAAAACTGTTGTGACCTTGATCAGTATGGGAAACCGGTAAAAGCACACCGATTAAGACAACCTATAACACCGTTTTCATTGTGGCTCTGTCTTTGTAGATCCCAGTTTGATTCGTAAAGAATGGGGGTATGAACATAAAAATTACCAATATTACGCTCTTAAATAAGACAGTATACCGAGCAAGACGCGTACACAAAGCTATTTACTTGATTTCTGTCGACTGCCATGGATACATTTTATGCCCGGCAGTTTTTGTTTTATCGGTCTATGGCATCCAGATGCCATCGAGATGGGTTGCTGCCAAAACATGGCCGAACGCATTGTCACGGGCGGATGGGAACGCAAGCTTATTCCGCTGCTGCGGTGCATGTTAATTTTCAACACTGCTTTTTTGTTGAAAACTCCATTAAATTTATTCAGAAAGTATGGTTACCAATTGGTGTATAGTGTATACAGTATTATATACATCAACGAGTAAATTAGCATAGAAAAGAGGATGCCAGATGCGTATTGGAAATGACTGTACATCCTGGAGTATGAAGTCGGCGGTAAAGTATCACTTTACTTTTTGGTTTTGTGTAAGTCACTTTGCACGGTTGCAGATGACTCTCCACGATTGATTTTGACTTATCGAAATGCTCTTTTAATGGAGTAAAAGTACGCTGGCTAAGGTAACTTACATCGGCTCTGCAGGTAAACAGTTACTTTACACAAACACTTATGGGATTTCACGCATATGTTGCCGGCCGTATCTTTTCTAATCAAAGTTCCAAAAAATGTGTATAACCTATCGCCGCACGATCGTTCAATGACATTTCGGTATGCAGAAGTTTCAGGATTATCCCGTTGAGTTATTGAACTGTCGCACTACCACGTAATCGATTGCAAAATCAGAGGGGAATTTGGCATCCGCCGGAGGAACATTATGCACTAGTCGGTTTGCGTAATTGTGCATCACAACCTACGGCAATAATTAACGAATTCGGTATAATTCACATTCTAATACCGAAATTCTGTCGTTCGTGTGGTTGAAAATGTGGTTAGATGGATGAATAATCACAGCACAACGGACAGCGCCATACAGAAATAAACTACAGCAAAAAGGATGTAATCATCCTATCAACGAAACAACGGCCGTTCGTGTAGTGTATCTGTACCTGCATGCGTACGTGGGGCACAGCCTCTCCGGTAATAGTCCATTTCGCCACGTCGTCGACGAACCAGACGACTTTTTCGGGTGTCCAAGTGATTTTAAAGACATGAAAGTTCCGACTGAAGTCACGCGGAAGAGAAATGAAGTAAACCTCAAACATTTCTGGAGGAGGTCTTTCTCTGTCCTTCACGTAGTCGGCAATGCTGGCGCGCGCTTCGTCGCCGCTAATAACAGTAGTTATTTTTCCTGGAAAGTCGCGGCAAGGAACAGTAGGGTCACACTGGGAATTTTGCAGCATAACAGTTCCCCAGATTTTCTCAGTGTCAGGCACCTTGGCGCGCCATTCCAGCTCTCCATACTAAAAGGAATTCAGAACACCGTCCTTCCGACGCCAACCAGAAATTTAATTCTACAAGTGTTATCGACATTATTTAACTGGCATTCAAAAAGTATTCAACTCATATTCTTTTCTGCATACGTTTTCCTACAACTTAGCAGCTGCTGTTGATTTATCTGTTTTCCAATAAGCGTCCTAGAAAGTTGCTGCTCATCAGAACATGCAGCAGTACTTTGCCACTGCTTCGTTAGCCTCTTGGTGTTTCAGAAATGTTTGAAATTATATTCTGTACAAGTACGGTAAATTCAGAGCATATCGTACAATCTATACATAATTTAATATCTCACCTGAAAATCAAACAAGCCTCTCGTGCTCACCATCCCCGAAGTATACTTGAAACCGTTGTATTGTTCCCATTTGGTGTACGCATGCAACAATCCATTTTCCACAGCGACATTTTCCTGTCGGTAAACCTGCCTTTCGCCTGGAAAATGAGCATCTGCAGTGGTCTGCTCTAGCTTCCATTTTCCCGGGTCAGGTGCTCCATTGCTGTTAAAGTTATCGCGAAAAATTTCAACAAAACCGTTGCGTCGACCTTGATCAGTGTGTGAAACCGGTAAAAGCGCACCGATTAAGAAAACCAAATGCACTGTTTTCATCTTGGATATACATATGTCTAAGTTAGACTATGTATCGCACTTGAATTTGTCAAGAATTGCCGGTATGTAACAATATAAATACTTTTATTAGCAGTGCTATGTGCTTAGTTAACGCAGTACTAATACCGAGCAATATGGACCAAGCTAATGTAATTCATTTCGGCGATCAAAAATTTGTGCCTACCAGCTGCGGTTTTATCGGTCGAGGACATCGAGATGCACTGCAGATTAGGTGCCGCCAAAAAAATGCAGAAATGCCTTATCATCGCCGGGTTGGAAAGTCAATGGAGACCAAATTACCTTTTCCTCTGCTTGGTAGTGTCTGGATCTCTAGTACTTTCCTCAAAATTCAAACACCATAGATTCTCATAATTTATTGCTGTTTTACTGAAAATCGTTAGTCTCACGACAGCGCATATTGCTAGTTTAGTGTATAAGGCTTATTTTTATTTTGGAACCGGTGTAGTAGATATTTTCTTACATCTTTGTTCTGAATGGATTTGCAGTAAAGTTCTTGCGATTGAGATTGCATATGCGTGCCCTCTGCACGAAAGTTAAGGATTTGGCAAAGGAGATCAGGCAGTGAAGACAGAAATCATCGAAAGATTGCCTTTGATTTGGCCTTTTATTTCCGATTTTGTAGTAACCAGGATCACCGTTTCGTGGAAAACGCTTTTCTTTCTTACAGATTCCTGTTCCCACCCGCCGAATTTCGACAAAAACCCATTAAATTTCCTGCATTTGTAAACGTTATCCATTTGGCAGAACCGAAAATTTTGACACTGATGACATTGTGGACTGCGTCCGCATGTATAATGCTAAGTTTTAAAACGTTTTATTAAGCAAGTGGCCCAGTTTTATCCGACTGATTTGGTAGCCTGCCGCACTACTACGTAATCGAGTGCCAAATCAGTGGGGAAGTTGGCACTCACAGGGGGAACACCAGGCCGGCACTTGTCGGATCACATAATTGTTCATCACAATCTCCAACAGTTAATAGGCTTTTGATACTTAAACGCTTCGACATTCTGTATTCGTGAATCTAAAAAGCATCAGACATCACTTTCCCCAGACCATTTGCGGCAAGAAACCGTAGGTTGGCACCGCGAATCCTGCAGCATGATGGTTCCATAAGTATGCTAAGTACGTATTAGGCACCTTGGCGCGCCATTCCAGCCCTCCTAAATAAAAATAAACCAGAAAATTCCCTTTCCAGCGGCACCAAAAATTTATGCGGCATTGCAATTAGTGCGTTTAGCAGTTTAATAAACTTCACTGTGCCGAATCGTAGCAGCCTGTGTTCTGTCGGTTCTTGCTCAACAGTCACCACCGACATTAAATTTTAGCTCGCCGAAGTTTCGTTCTGGTTTAACCATGATCTGTTTTCTGAGAAAAGTCGATGTGAAGAAGGGAAGAACAGAACTTCCGTAATTTTAAATTAAACTCTGCCCTTAAACTGTCGTACGTCGTGCAGAGATTAGTTTGACTAATTCCTACCTGGAAATTAAACAGTCCTCGCGGGCTCGCTATCCCGGAAGTATAATTGAAACCGATGTAATGTTCCCATTTGGTATATGCATGCAGTGATCCATTTTCCACGGCGACATTCTCCCTTCGTTATACCTGCTTTTCACTGGGTGCATCACCATCTGTAGGGGTCCGCTCCAGGTTCCATTTTGCCGGGTCAGGTGCCCCATTGACATTGAAGTCATCACGAAAGATTTCAATAAAACCGGTGGGATTTTGATCGCTGCGTGTAGCCGGTAAATGTACGCAGATAAAGAGCACCCAGATCATCGATTCCATCTTAAGTTATTATACCCACACTAGTAGTTGGAGAGAGTGTGTGTTACGAATTCGTGTTACGTGTGTTACGTGTGTGTATTTCGGTAGTAATAATATTAATAATAATGCTTATACTTTAGTAATAAACACATTTACAGCAAAATTCAAGCACGAAGCTAACAAAACTCATTTTGAAGCATGAACATGAGCATGCGGAAATTTATTGATATATAGCGTGCTTTTGGGCCAGGCACAATTTGTTTTATCGCCATATTGCATGGTGTGAAATTTAACACTTTTTCGTATCAGAATTTATTACAGTAAAAAAGTAAAAATCAAGAGTTAGTAACTGCATTACCTGACGTCGTACGAACGTGCATAACTGGCCCTCAACAGCAGCAGCATGCGTTCAATAAACAAACTACTGCCGCTAACAGATTGCAAATAATTCGGTAATTTGCACTAGCGACTAAACTAATGGTAAGCATAAGTAGTAAAATCAATAAAGTTGAATATATTAAATATATTAAATACTGCATTTATTGCAACTTTGAGTGCTTAAAACGGAAAACAGCAGATTCTGCGGGCGGAAGAACAGCTTTTGTCGATGGGCTAATCAAGAAGTGAAAAAACGCAACACGAGAACAAACAAGCGTGCAGCCTGAACAGTCCGAACTGCGAAGAAATCGATCGAGTGACACAACCACACAAAAAAAGACGAGCGCTGCTGCTCGACATCGAAACGCGCAAATGGCCGATGCGGCGTGCCGCAAGAGGGGGAGGTGCCGCCGACGTAACATTACTAGCGGCTCGATCAAGTGGCACCACAGAGTTGGTGTACGGGAAAACCGCACACACGCAGCGTGTGCATGCTCATGCGCTTTGCAAGCACGAGTAATACACACTTTGCAAGTGCTGATTTCCCGTACACAGACTCTGTGGTGCCACTTGATCGAGCCGCTACAGTAGTTTCAATAAACGCAGTTAATTAATTTTAATCCCAGATCTTTAATGGCAGTAGCGAGCAGCTGGTCAATGATGCGTGTAAATCTTGGAAACTGGAGTCCGGTTGTGAAGAGCTGCCTCTGGACCTGGCCCGTGTCCATCAATGTGTATGGGATAACGCCGTTATTCAGAAGGATGTCGATACATTGTGGAGTAACATTGGTGACAATAAACAGGAGGAAGCACGCTTGAGGGCAGTCAGTACTAAATACGCAGGAGCTTGGCTTAGCGCTCTTCCGGCGAAAGTATTCGGCAATTTTTTGGACGACCAAACATTTCGCATTTCCGTTGGCCTATGGCTGGGTGCTAAAATTGTTGAGGGCCATTCGTGTACCAGATGTTAAAAAGATGTAGCAGAAAACGGTTACCATGGGCTTGCCTGTAAGAAGTGCATCGGAAGAAGGGAGCGCCATAACAGTATAAACGACATCATACTGCGGGCCCTCTGCAATGCCGGAATCGAGTCGTATCCAGAGCCTGTGGGTTTTGTGCGAGAGAACGGAAAACGACCGGACGGAGCCACACGTTGGAAATGGTACCGCGGACAGCCGTTAGTGTGGGACGTGACGTGCAGAGACACGATGTGCGATTCTTACATTGATGCAAATTCAAAGTGTGCTGGCGCCGCCGCCAAACTGGCTTGCCGGGAGAAGATTGGAAAATACAAGTCGCTTACTGATCGCTGCAATTTTGTCCCCTTTGCATGTGAGACTTTTGGCACTTGGTGCGAGACCGGCATTGTTACGTTAAAGGAGATTGGAAAGAAGTTGTTTTTAAGGACGGGCGAGAGCCGCTCTACTTGTCTTTTGTTTCAGCGTTTAAGTTTGGAAATAATGCGTGGGAATGCCATGAGTGTGTTATGTACGGTCCATTCTCGTGCCAACTGGGACAAATTTTTCATTTGAATGTATTTCTGTGAGCGATGCTCGTCTCCATACATATTGCAAATACAGTGGAGATCTACAGTATTACTTAAAAAAAATTAATTTGTAATGTACGTGTTCTGCCACATTGGCCATCCTAAAGCCTATACCCATTCCGTATAGTCATTAGGAAAGTCGCCATTGTTTAATGTTTAATGGTTTAACGTCCGCACACATTCAGGGCAAGGCCCAATTCGAGGCAGCAGACCAGACATTAACTACCAATGTACAATATATACAGCAGAATTCAACAAAAACAATTCACATCATCTGCAGATTCAAAACATTACAACCAGACTCAATACACCCACTCTCTAATGAACACATTTGTAGGCCAAATCTCAGGTTCCAAAATCTTTTCCCCATATCTTTGAACGTACCAATGCGAGCAAATGTAGAAGTGCGCCTATCACCACGAGCGGGAACGTAGACATTAACAAATCGCGTTGGAATTCCTACTTCTGCTAGCTATTTGGCAATGAACGCATTATAATCTTTTACACTGTCAAATTTCGAGTCCTCCACTCGTGGTATACCTCTTACACAAAAATCCGCATGTGGCTGATGTTTTGCTTGTAGAGATTCGATCAGTTCTCTCGAAGGACCTTCACTCGTTCCAGTATGCGAGCCACGCACAGTCTTTGGCGCTTTCTTCGTAATCGATGCGTACGACTGCGGTTTCGATGTCGACCCAACGGGTTGGTCCTTGGATGCTGGGGGGTTCTTCGACTGGGTGGTGGCTCGCTGTCCTGTCAAGGGTTTCGCGGGAACAATCCTCTTCGGACTCCACACTTTGCCAGCTTGTTTCAAGGCAGGAATGTCTTCGGAGTAATCAAACACTCCAAAATGTTCGTCAACAGTTTTCATGTAATCAGGGTCTTCCTTCATGAAATCACTCATCCCACACCACTGGCTACCAACTGCACATTCAACCAAAAACACTCGTTCACATAATTTCTCAACAGTGTTACCAAAAGCATCGAAACTTTGCAGAGATTTAGGCACAGCAGGTGCGGAACTATAGGCAGAAGATGATGCATCGACGTGTAGAGCCAACTGGTTCTTCATGGCCACATTTTCGACATTCAGCTGTTCGATTTTCGATTCCAGACGCTTAACATGATTAACAAATTTCTTAAGCTCAGGTATAAACTTTTCCCAGTTAACTTTTGAGCCAGAAAAGTCAAAAGAGAAGTCGCAATCACTCATTTTTCAAAGATATTCAAAATATTCCGAAATATGAAGCTGATTGTGAAAAGTTGTGCCGTTAGAACGCTGGCAACGTGTAATTACAAGTAGTATTGTCTCTATCATTTTCCTATTGGATGGCAAGGATTTGGAACAACTTGCGAATTCCAGCAGAATCTTACCACAGTCTTGGTAGATTCACTGCAGCTTTGAATTGTGTAGACTGGAAGTCTGTGGTGTCCTTGAAAAAGTTTTATCATGGTGAACATCGCGTTCTGTTGGAACTGTGAATTGTTGTAGTTGTTGTTGAATTCTGAATACTGTTACGTACCATGCGGAAGTTGTGTAGCGATGAGCGCATAATGACATAATTCTGATATCATATAGTAAAATGGTGCGCTTTACTTCATTATCACATCGCGTATTACATAAGTAACAAGAACAAAAATCCTTGACATCATTGCCTTTCAGCTAATTTAAAGGCAAAATACACATCTTCTTTCTCAACCACGTCACTAAAGATACCGAGAACAGACACTGCATTTCCTCTCTGAATCTCGATACCAATTCTCTGACGCAAAAACTCCCCCGAGCGAGGGTTACCTGTACAGTCACAAATCTTTCGCGACAAATCTTTAAAAAACTTCTTCGTCAGCGGTTCAAATGTTCCCGTAGTTTCGAAGGCCAGCGGTTGAACAATGTAGCGGTCTGCCAGCCCGCTATACTTTACTAACTTCCGGTTTTTCCGTATTTCCGCTGCACTTCCCGGCACCCTGGACGTCTGGGCGATGTACGTTTGGGCAAATGTGTCTGCCACGGTAGCATCCCACACTAGCGGCTTTCCATTCTTCCATGGGAAACCTGTCACTCCGTCGGGCCGCTTTCCATCGCCTCTGTCTAAGCCCACCGGCTCGAGTGACGAAGGTACTTTTGCCGAACTCAGCGCTCGCTTGGTTGCTTCGTTCAAGACGGCGTGAACACCATGCCTTCCTTTCGCCAGTTTGCAAACCAGCCCATGGTGTCCGAGACTGTCTACGGTACTGCCGCACCGACACACATGCGTCTGACATCCTGGGGCCCTCAACCGTCGTGCCACGGCAATTCGTAAGTGAGTATTCTCCAGTAAACTTCCGAATATGGATCCGGCAAAGCAGACAACCAGGCAGGCGATTACGGTGAGGATGCAGCCAACAATCGAGCAAAGGTAATTACGTCGGCATTCTCCATCATGCGGGATGCTGTCTGGTTAGCTGCAATGCTGTCCAGACCGACTGGAAGTGGTGGCTTTCCGTCCGCGGGGGTTCCAGGGAAAAACGTTCATATAGTTATGTAAACTGTTAACGTGGAATATGTTATCTTAATGATTGAGGTGTGTGTCTCCTTTATGTAAAGTGCTGCTTAATGGTTTCTTAATGAGCTCTTAATGGGATGAGTGCACTGACTGATGTCATAGTTACATCACCGTCCTAACGTCGTTTTAGTGTTTAAGGCTTTTTTGCCTGTAGAGCATTTCAGTATGTTGGATTTTCAAGTCTAGATCCCTCTCTTAGTTCCGCTGCATACAGGCATCCGGAAGTGCCCATTAAAATGTAGTTGACCTTTCATGTCATGTTGCTTATGCTTACATTGCGCTGCCTCCGGTATTCAACCAACCCACCGCATTTATAAGCGTAACAATACCTATTTTGATGCTTTTGCTTTTCTCCTTATGACTAGTCCGCTGCCTCGGATTGGGTTTCACCCAGATTGCGTGTGGACGTTAAACCATTAAACATTAAGACGATCGCAAGTTTATACATAAACAAGTACAGTAACGCTTTTATCTGGTAAATCGAGGTCATAATTTCCCATTCATTACAGTATCTGTACAAAACAGCTTTCCCCCAGTACTATGTAAACATATTGCCAGAGAAATCGATAGCAGTCATCATAGCACTGTTTAAACAAATCTGTCAATAATTTGACGCGTGTTCTTATTTTAGCTGACTGAACAGTTTTTCCCCAAGAACCATGAATGAACACGCAGTAGATCAGAACCTCACAACTACACCGCTTGCACGTTAATCTTCCAACCTGATGCCGTCAGAGATACATCCGATGTAAAGATCACAACCTGTAAAGACAGGTTACGATTGATCGTATTATTGTATGGATAGAGGCCCTTGTTCCACTCACTGTAGGATTGCTCACAGTTTGCGTCGTAAATACGTTGGAACTGCAATACTGATCACTGCCGATGCGTAGTGTGTCAGTGCCACAATCGTCATTCAACTGGATGAAAGAGATTACAAACTGCTAGTACGTAGAAGTGTTTAAAAAACAACAAAAATAAGTATGTCGCACAAGTGCAAGTACAGAGGGTTATTCAGCCCCGGTCGAGTGTTTGAAACATGTCTGTCAGGCATTTAATTTTTTCTTGTATCAAAGGATATTGAAATCTTAACTCAATCAGTTTGACTGAACGTTGTGGCTGTTTGATAAAATATTTGGAAATGCAATATGATCTTGTGGTGACTAAAATGTTTCAAAAAGGGAACACACTTGACTGAGTAACCCTCTGCACAAGTTTCAAATCGGCCGAAGGATCTGACTTACATTGAACGGTACCGATGGATCTTCCGTGAACTAAAAGGAAAACAGCAATATTGTTGGCAATTAGCGCGAATATCAGTTCATAATTTTTCGTGCTAGGTTAACAGTATATTATAAAAAACTAAACCAGCACCCCCACTGTGACCTCAGCACCTTTAAATGCAAGTCTACTACTGTAACGGCTCAAAGGATCCTTAAATAAGTTTGGCTTATTGGCACGCATATCTCTGCGAAATTTTTCACTCCATGGAAAATTAGTATACGAGCGAAGCGACTTTCTAGGGTCATTAGGGAACAAGTCATATAATCTTGTACTTTTTAAAAGTAAATGCCTCCATTAATGGTAAGTAACAATAAGGAAACATATCGAATATTGGGGATGTGTTACAGCATGTGCTCCGGGATGCGAGCCAGCATCGATGTAAACGTTCATTTCGGTGAACCAGTACGGTAGGTATACCTGCAGCTGCTTTCCGGTAGGGCCTTGGAAAGTCCACAGGCAATAGGCGAAATTGGGATAGTCACCCGGGGCATCACTTTCCCCAGTTCCTCCAACAGGGGAACTGAATACAACTGTGCCTGTTGCTGGAACGGTGATACAGCCACCACATCCTGAAATTGTAAATATGTCACGCATATCTAGTTCCTTCTTCTTCCTTGACCGTGCACTGTTTGTGGACTGTTGAATTGTCTACGATAGTACCACTACCGGGTGGCAGAAAAAAATAGCGGTCTGGTTTACGGCGGTGCAATGGGTCCACCCATTGACCGATTTTCACCATGGTAGTCTCGTTTGAAAGAACCGCCGAACCAGGTTTGTGACATATAAAGATTAAATTATATTAACGTGATAACGTAAAGGTCTGATTTTTTCGGAATTGTTTTTGAAACCTGGGTGGAACACAGGGTGTGCTGTTCACAAAAATTGGATATTCTCCATTTTTAGCTTAAGAATTGCAGTTGTTCAAGAAAGCAGATCCGTGTAAGTCACGTCACTGTTTATGGCAGTATTTGAACTTCAGTTTACCTGCCTGCAGTGCACGAACGGGTCTGATTTAAACTCGTTACTGCAAGGGCATCGGCTTAGCTATTGTATATTTGCCATCCAAGCCGACGGTTTTGTTGGGGTCTTTCGTGCAACCAAAATTTCAACTGATTTTGACACGTTGACATTTGGCACCATTGCTACTTTTATTGCTTTTCATGAAAACAATTTTTGTTTTGAATCATTGATAGCTGATAAAACTGTCTATCGAAGGAAATTAAACAATTCACGGTACGGCAAGTGATTTGTGAGAAGTAAACGAAAAGAAGAGACCGCCATTTCGTTCAGCCACCCAGAATGTATCTGGATAATCGTTTAGAGTTTCCTTGATTAGACGGTGATCTTACCCATAGTTAGCGGCGTAGGAGGGGCAGTTGACACCGGAGTCGCACATAAAGCTACTGGAGCGGCAGTTGTTGTTGTTGTGGTGGTGGTGGTGGTCGTGGTCGGTGTTGCTGAAAAAATACCATTTTTCTTTTAAGTAATTGTTTCGGTTGAGCGTGTTATGTCTATCTGTTGCATCAGGTACTACTTCGAGCGTGTCTCGACATTGCCGCCCAGGTGCAAATACGTATTCGGTGCAGCTGGGCTTCCCGTGCTGCACGGAAAGTTAGTTTTCCCGTGCCTTACTAATAAAATAATGAACATTCCCCAAGCAAACAACTTACTGGTACTAGTAGTGGAGGCAGTCGTTGGACATGCAGTAGTAGTAGTGGTTGGACAACTTGGACAAGCTGGGCAAGTAACGCCTGAAAATAAAGTATGATCTTAACTATGCTGACAAGTGACACGGGAAAATGGAGTGAAGTATGACTGGTGACTTCGGCGTGTTATGCCTTCCGGACTGAACGGGATTGTGGCAAACACTGAGCAGCAAAGATTTCCGCGTAAGTACTTAAAACTTAAACGTCCACAAAATGATGAGTTCAAAAATAATGTATTCCCTCCTCCACACTTGAAGAAATTGCACCTACTGTTTACATATATCAAGCAGCAAATTGTGATTAAAACATTACAGGGTTCATCTTGAGAAATACCCTACCAAAAGTCAGAACGTTTGTACAGTACATGTGCAGTAACAGCAAAAAACACTCACTTTTCATCGGTTCACGAATCAGATACATGTGGAGAATGGACCATTGTACAGTATTTAACTTCGAGTGTTTATGTTAATCCGTTCACGGACTAGATGCAATACATATGGTAAATGCACTATTATGCAGTATTAACATGAAGTTGCATTAATTCACCGGTTCACGAATTAGATACACGCAAAGAATGCTCTTTTGTGTAGGATTTGCCATGAAGTGTTTACATGAAACCGGTTCAAGAATTCGATACATCATACATGCGAAAAATGTATCCTCATACTTAACATAAAGTACAAAACCCACTTCTCACTGGTTCATGGAATTATTTGCAAGTAGAGAATGCACCATTGTGCAGGTACTTTGGATAAAGTAGTCAGGTTTCACTGTTTACAGATTCAGGTGTATATGGTACGTGAAACTGCGAAACGACTACGCATCGTGCTCAAGTATTGCGGTTTACATGCATGCAGTGGTAGTAAACATGACATAATCACACACCGGAAATGCACCGCGCTATACAGTACTCGAGAGAAATTCTTTAATTGCCGAGAGTTTCTAGTTATGGCAAACATCTGCGCATAACTCTGACCTTTATATCGCTGGTGAGGCTGTTAGTAAGCTATTAAATTTCAGCGAGCTCACTTTGTGTTGAATGCATGCTGTACCTCTGAATTACAGTTTTTAAAATAAACAGTTTTGCTATAAACTTTTCAAAATTGTGGTGATTGTGGTTTCGGTAAGAACCCCATGACTCCAATGTGCCAAAGTTAAACATTAACCAATGCACACTACAGTAAAACGATACAGATTTATGCAACAGTCTTTACGGAGATTCTGCGGAATGGGTACCGGTCGCGCGAGCAGTGGCCGATTTGTACTTAAATTTACGGTATTCTTGAATTGACTAGCACGAGAGTGTCAGAAAGAGGCTGAGGTGAACTACGGTAAAATGCCTTATCCGACGTCTATTTCGGTCCTGTTTCAGCAACCATAATTTGTTCATACTGAACATTTCATAACAGTTTGCTGCAATGATTTGGCTACTAAAAGAATATCTTCAAACCGAGTCACACAACTAACTATTTAAAGCGCTAGCGTAAAAGTTGTCTTCTAGTTAATTGGTGCAAAACTGGTGATATATTTAAGGCTTTTTCTCAAATTTTCTTGCTAATAGCACCTACCCTTCTACGAGCGAGTACGACTCCAAAGTTATAGTACTGTTAAGTTTCTTTACTAACTGGAAGATGTCGTCGGGCACGTCACTGTTGGGCAGGCAGTTGTTGTAGCTGCAATCAGAAAACATGATAAGGACACTGTTCTTGTTGTCACAGGTGCTTTACGCGTAGTGCACATTCATCTGACAGACAATTTCATGGTGCGTTCAGTAACGGTTAAAAAATACCTGTTGTCGTTGTGGCGTACGGCGTACATCCGGTCTTCGCTGCGTTGGTGTACGATAACGGGGACAATTCAATGCCGCTTTGGATACGGGTCCTGCACACTTCCGGATAAAGGCAATTTCGGCTGTTTCGGAAAGGAAAAGATCAGCCGCCGCTGATCTCGATATTGCCGGCTGTTGCGAGGAAATCTGGGAAGATATGCTTACAGACTGCACCTGCGCAGGGGGAAATACTGGGACAATGTTGGAGAGAAAGTTAAATCTGCCGGTTGGCAAGAGCATCGGTAATGACTGAGCTGCGATAAACCAATCCCTTTTTAAACTGAACAAGCTGCAGATTATTATAAAAAGTTCCATTGCTAATTTTGAGTACTTAGCGCTTTTCCAACAGGCAAAAAAGGAGTTTTATTCACAAAACAAAAGTCTGCGCGAGAAGTAACGGCCACCGGAGCTTAACGCAACAAAATTAATCTAACCTTCTTTTGGAGTGTTATTGGTACATCGTATATCGTTTCTTGGAATACCTGCACTGCCCTTAGGCGATTCATGCTTGCCGACCAATAGTTTTCACGGACGCTAAACGTTTACTACTGTTTCTGCTGAAACCATAGTACGAGTATTTACTATTTAGACTACCATGTATAATATATAATATGTGCAACAAATATCAAAAGCGTCGCCACAACGTAACTGCACCAGCTCGCGTAGTACGATGACGACGTGACGAGATCGTCTGCCTATTTGTATTTGCCGACGTACCGTGGATAATTATGGACGGGTATTCTGTTCTCAAGCTGCTTTAAATTGACTCCGCCTACGTTTTCGATACGCGAGGCGGCGGTAGTCGGCAGTGACACTCTTTGAGTAGCATCGAGCTATAGTTGCGTACCTGTTCAACTGCAGTGACTGTACAATATTAACCGGTCCACTGCTTCGTTGTGGTTTTGATTTTTTCGGTCTGCATGCGGTTTTTGATTTTGAGCAATGAATTTTCGGGGATTAGCATCGTTATGGGAACATGGTACATGTACAGTACATGATACGTGGTACATGTGCTTTCTGCGGTAGTAGGTACACTGCTACGTAGTGTACTACTAACCGTGTAGTGGATTCTCAACTAAACTGAAAGTCTGAATATTCCAATTTAACTTGTCGTTTTAGAAAACGCATTCGTTATCCAAATTCGCTATTTCCATACCAGGATACTGCGGCGCGTATGAAATTGTACCATTCAATGATAAGACCGGTAAAAACACATCTCACTACATTTCGGGTCTGCTAATTCATAGTTCCACTGGGAATCTGGAAGGATTAATTTTATTTACTTATCCGTTTCTTCACTAGATAAGGATCCGGTACAGTCATTTTGAATTTGTAATGAAACAAGAGGCTCAGGTTTATCCGGTGGAGTTGGTAGGCCGTCGTACTACCACATAATCTATTACGAAATCAGAGGGGAATCTCGCAGGGGAAACCGTATCTACTTGCCAATTTCCGTAACTGCTCAGCACCACCTGCAACCATTAACACCTTTCGGACTTAAGAATTTGCGGACGTTTTGTTAGTAGTTGTGCATTTCAACGTCTTTCCTGTTCCAAACATTTTTACATATGGATTTTCGTACCGAACTCCAGAGACACGATATTCTCCGTGTTATTTCACATGACAAAAACGTTTACAAAACGGATTGCATGATAATTTTATTCCAGCTTGTACACGGTAGTGATAAAAAGTATTAAGTTTGCAAAATATGTGGAACAATGCAGAAAATATCGTGTCTCTGGTGTCCCCTACGCGAATTCATATACTTAGTGTAAGTGTTTCAAATGCAAGAGACGTTGAAATCGTAAAAGCTGTACTTTTAAAGGTACAGAATGTGATCCGTATATTGACGGCTCAAAGGTTGTTCATGATCTATACCTGCATGGGTAGGTGGGGCACCGCCTCTCCTTCAACGGTCCACTTCACGTCGCCTTCCACGAACCAGGCAACCATGTCTGGTGTCCAGGTTATCTTGAACACATGGAAGTCGTGACTGAAACCACTTGGAAGAGATATGATATCGGCATGTAGCATTTCCGGAGGAGGGTGTTCTCGATGCACATAATCAGCGATGCTAGCGACCGCTTGATCGCCACTGATGACGGTGGTGATTTTTCCCGGCCATTTACGGCACGGAATATTAGGGTCGCACCCCCAGTGTTGCAACGTGAAGGTTCCAAAAAAATGCGGGGTACTGGGCACTTTTGCGCGCCATTCCACTTCTAAAACAAAACTTGACTACTACTCCGTACTAAAACAAAATACCGAGAACTGCGTTTTGACGGCAGCAAAGTAATTGATATTCATGCAGTCCACATTGTGTTTATCGCCCTTAAAGAAATTTTACTGAAGAACCACTTTGCAGCCAAATTTTTCAATAACTTGGCAGTCAGCGGCTGTAAAGTACAAATCTGTGTTTTGGCAAAACTCCGCTGATTGTCAGTGTCGGGTAGCAATGCAAGCTGAAGTTGACAGGTATAGAAGCCGCACGCTTAAGAAAGCCACTGCGAAAAGACACTTCAAAGTTAACATTTCTCTAAACACACATTCTTTGTTCTAATTGATTCATTAACTTGGATGCCTGTGAAGCTTCAGTATGGACCGTAAATTCAGTACTTACGTAAAACGCTCACTCCAAGAGATAGCCGGTAGTAGTGTATCTTACCAGGAAAGCAAAAGCGTTCCGCGTGGCCACCATCCCTGAAGTAAAATGGTAGCCGTGATATGGTTCATTTTTGGTGTATGCATGCAGTGATCCATTTTGCACAGCGATATTTTCCTGTCGGTACACCTGTTTTTCACCCAGAATATCAGCATTTGCAGGAGTCTGCTCCAGTTTCCATTTAAGTGGGTCAGGTGCTCCATTAGTATTAAAATCGTCGCGAAAGATTTCAACAAATCCGGTGGGATCTTGACATCTATATGCAGCCGGTAAAACTACACCGATTAATAAAATTTTGTACACCGATTTCATCTTGGTTCAGTCTGTCTGTACTCCTACTTCTATAGAATACGCTACATTGGCGGCAATCTGTGAACTTGGTGATTGATATAATGCAGATTTTGCGTACTTTACCTGCCTACGGCGTCGAGAAAAGAACCACTTGAGGATTATACGGCTGCCAAAAAAATGCAAAACTGCCATATCATGGCCGGTTCCAGATGAAAACCTGTTCCGCTTTACGGTGCATATTGTCTTCCAACAATTTTTTTTCGTTTAAGCCTTTGTCAAAGTTACCATCAAAATTTATTCAAAATATATGTTTAACATTTTGTATCAAATGAGCAATGAGCAAAGCAGTATAAAAATGAATAAATTTTTGTATGCCTACGTAGACGACACTGCCAAAAAAAGGTTTTGTGAATGACTTTTACAATTACTATAGTACTAATTCTTTTGCCAACAACTTTGCACAATATAAGTATTGTAGAAACTACGAACGGGCGTCATCAGTACAAGTGTAATGATAACAGCAGCACAGTTATATTTCCTGTATTCATCAGTTTACTGGCAGTTATAGACAAGTGTTTTATATCCCAGGGGCGTATACTGCATTTGCCACATATGGAAGTACCTATGTTTCCAAACCGTGAAAGTACTGTAATTAAACTTCGAAGTGATTACTGTAATTATGTACTGTAGGCTACCTTTATTAACGCTGTTCACAAAACGACAGGTTTCGAAACAAATCCCGTACACATTACACACACAACAGTACTGTAAAGTGCTATTACAGTCTTATACGCATATACTATTACAAATTACAACACGAGCACTTTTAACAAAAGCTTCGGAAACTATCACTCATCAAGCATCAATCGACAGCGGCGGCCTAATCACAGAGAAAATTTGGTCTAAATTCGCTCCCATCGGCGCCGCCCCCATGATCGATGCAGCATTTCCTCGCTGTATTTCGATGCTGATCCGTTGGCGAAGATATTCCGTGGCTCGTTTTTCGCCGGTTTCCTGACGTATTTTCTGTCCGAATTATTGTTATTGTTCGGACAGCTTCCGGTCCGGGTGGTCCGAGCGTCTCAAAGCCCAGAGCACGGAATAGGTAGTCCTGGCCGATATCGCGATATTTCTCGATCTTGCCCTGCTCGGCCTGTGCTGCTGCTGCTGTGCTGCTGCTGCTGTACTGTAAATGTCGACATAAAGCAGCGTACCTGCACCTGTACTGGTATTTAACATTAACATTGACTCAAATATTAAAGAAATCGGGGAAAAACTAAACGCTTTCCCCCTCTACAAATTACCAAAACCATACTGTACTAATAATTATTACTTGTGAATAATAAATACTTGTCGCTGTAAAAATGCTCAATTCTGTAACGTTATTTGATTCATAGTACATTAGTACTTACTCAAATATTCGCCGTTATCCGGGTAAATTATAAAGGTCATTTAATTGTAGTGGCTCGTTTTTTCTGCCCACGCGTGTAAAATTAAGATCTTATTAATTTTGATAATTAAGATCTCACTAGGCTTCTTTTACAAAATGGGTCGTGGTCTCTGGTATACGTGGTCTTGCTTCGCGTTTTAAAAGTTTTCGAATTCGTTTCCTTGGTAGCACCAAGTTACAATTAACACTGTGACTACTGCCGTAATATTATTATTTCGTACGAAACTGAATATTTAGCAACAGTAGTAAATTTAGCTACAGTAGTATTTAGCTACATATTTAGCTATAGTAGTACTACTCGAAACGCACTTTAAACTGTGTTCTGTAAGATACAGAGCCGGAAGTTCTGTAACTTTTGATACCACCCCTTACCGCTGATTGGACGTCTGAGTTAAAGTGTTCTGTATCTAAAAGGAACTCTCCTAGCTCCGCTACGATACAGAACTCGCATTTCTTGCTAGGTCAAATTTATTTTTTGATGTGGATGCACAGTCCGCTGTACGTCAAAAGTCCTATTTTTAATTTTCCAGATTTGAGGGTGTAACTAACGGGAATTTAATTGTTTCTATCGAATCAACATTCCAGTTCTGCTTTGTTCACTGTTTTTAGGCTGCCTCCGACTGTGCATGTTTGATGTTTGAATTTGTATCGATGGCAACAGGCAACTTCTTGCCATAGCCGTCAGCGCGAGGAATGGTGAAATTCCACCTCGACGTACTTTACGTGCAATTGCGTTTCGCTTTTTCACCAGTCGTCTGATTTCTTCAACTTAATAAAACTTAAAATCGCCAGAAAAACAGAAAGGAAACGTCCACAAAATTGTTGTGAAAAATAAATAAATCGTTGACCAAATTGGTCAACGGTAACTGGGCGCTTTTAGAGTCCGTGGTCTCGTTGCTCTGTAACGCTCTATAAGATTCAGCGCTGTACCATTGGTAGATTCATTTTTACAGAACTCCCGGCTCTGTATCTTACAGAACGCATTTAAAGTGCCTTTCGAGTAGTACTAGTAGTACCTATATTGCTAAACGGTGCCATAAACTGAGCACTGAAACAAAATAATATTTTGTATTGAAGAATATTGAAGAAGTGTTTTTGTTATGAATAATATTATTATTCATAACAAAAACACTTCTTCAATGCTATCCTGCTCGGGAATCGTATTGCTAAACAGACATAAACTGTGGTAATAATATTATTATAATTATTATATTACAGTACAGTACTTGCTGTTTAGTAGGAGGTACCGTAGGAGGTACTACAGTACGCACGTACGTACGTGATACTAACTCAGTGTTTATTTTGTGTTCCAAACCGTCTGGTTGTTTTAGTCCACAAATCCATAAACTGAGTGCGACCGTCTCTCGCCGTCTCTGACCTCAATGGACAGTAAATGCATGTGTGAAGCTGCATAGGCGTGTGGCTTTTCCAGTTTTTACTGAGCATATTCTCTTATCACGCTGCGATGGTGTTTTCTAAATCCCCTTACGACTGGAACTGCGTAGATGTCTTGGGAAACGATGGAATATACCGTTTTGGCCGCGTGGTAGATGTGGCTGATAATGAGAAGGGTCTGATCGTTGACCTTTGCTGCGCGGACCGCAGGCGGGAGACCATTCCTTTTTCAAAGGTTTTTCACGCTTCGTATGGAAGGGAAATTGGCGGGTTTGGTGCATATTTTGAGAGTTTCAACCCTTACTACAACGACGAGATAGCAGCTACTTCTAAGGATGGTATTATAGAAATCGATGGCCCCGGGCCCGAAGTGGAAGTACTGGTGCGTGAGCATCTTTCCGGACCCTGGATCTGGCTGCCTGGCAAGCTGTACATTTCGCTAACCGAAGCCGATATAAACATCAACAACCTGGCTCAAGTTGAATGGTACAGCTCCGACGGCAAGACGAACACGGACATCTTCCCCTGCACCAGCGTCCGCAGATCCCAGAAAGAGTGGATAAAAAGGTTAACACGAAAAAAAGCAGGGAAGCCCCAATGTGTTGCCAAGGATGACTTTGTAAAGCATCGCCTGCGTTTGGAGTTAGCCACAGCGTTTCTTGTCGATTCCGTTTCGAAAAAAGAATTTCTTCGCCTGCTATCGGAGTTTGTTCGGTCTGATGATAATGGCGACAAGTGGCCATGGACAACTGATTTTAACATGCACGTTATATTCGTGGACGTAAAAGACGGACACCTTCATTATATGCGTCCCAATCCAAAGTGTGGAACATCACAGAACCGAACATGCCTTTCATCCGATTCGGAATGCACCTCCAAACCGGAAGTAGAGGTACAGCCACTCCGAACTTTCATAAGTAGCGGCTCTTGCGCAAACCAATGATAATAATTAATGAATAGAATAATTATAGAACTACGTAATCTATTCAGGCAATTGCCAGTCAACATAACAACAAGCCTGCGCTGATAGACATTAATAGAAAATTTCAATTTTACACGTATAGAACTAGACTGTACTCCTACAGTCGTACTGTCATTCATTTTAAATTCGTATCCATTTCAAATTGTAAGTTCATTATTATTGGTCTCGTTCGTATAAATTATATGGCATTAAGCTTTTTATCGTTATAGTCGTAGATATTTTACATTTCTTAAGATTCGAATTCAAACAATAACAACTTCTTTCTATACTGTTGTTTAGACCAAAATAATCGAAGCAGTAGACGAGGTTCTACGATTTGCGAAACGAGACGCAAAGGAGAAAGCTAGAGCGATGCTGATCCATACGATTCGCGTCCTCCATCCCAGAACTCACTGTCGAAAAACCGCCAAAATCCAGACGCTTCCTCCAGAGTTATTAGGCAAGATTCTGTCGTACCCCGATACCATCACACAAACCCGCCTGCAACTCGTCTGCTCAGTGTGGATGACTATTCTGAGCGAAAATTCCAAGGTGAACGACACCATCTGGATCGCCGAAAGTCCGTTCTGGGACCGGGACGCCATAACACCGGATTATGTGGTAGTCTCCACCATTGTCAAATACCTGTCGCCAGCCATCAAACGCATTGTGCTGACCTATGGCAGTCCCCGTTGGGTGGAGGGTGCCGAAAGTCCGCGATGGTTTGATGGGCAACTATTGGCGGCGGCCGGCAGTATGAATTACGTCTTCGTAACCGGGATTCCGGTCGATCTGCAGGAGCTGCTGCTGCATCGCTGGAAGTTCACCTTTCAAACTGGTCTGCATCAAGGGCCTCAGGATGATTGTGAGGCACACTATGAAGCGCCCGATGAACTCGCGTCGGAGGGGTACGACCCTTACACACTTCCGCATTTCTTTGTACAATGCAGCGATTTAGATGAGAAATATCTGCACTGCAAAGAACTGGGTCTCGTTAACTGTCTCGTCACGTTGTTCCACTCAACGCTAGATGAGGAGCACGTACTGGGCAAGACTGACCAGTGCAAAGTGGAGATCGTCATCAATGTGGTGCGCGGTCGTATCGATCTGGCTGCCGGTAATTTCGAGTGTGCGCTGTGGGAGCTGCTAGAAGCGTCATTACCTGCTGCCGATAACCGTCAGAAGAAAATGGTAACGCAATGGATCAAGTGGCTGACGAATAACCAGGATTCCGAAAGGCGTAAAGCTCTGTTGCAGATGACCCTCAAGGTATGCTTTGTTGTTATTTCTGTGCTTCAGAGATGCCTCTACAGAGTACTATAAAAATATTTTACTTTAGAAGATAATGCAGTGATGTACGGGCGGCTTAAAATGGTTATTGATCGGTATTAAGCTGACTTGTTCTTAATTAGGTCTGGTCCGTTCATGGGCAATTTTTACTAACTAAACTTCTAATCTGAAATTTATCCTGCAGATACTTTGCGAAGTGCAAACAAAAGATCCGCGCAAGACGTTGCAGTATCGTGGAAAAATGTGGTGCCAAGACGGCCTGACGGGTATCAAGTTGAATAAGTTGTCCCGCATTACCATGCACTTTCTAATAAAGCTGGCTGGTCAGTTTCCGGAAGGAGACGATGTGGAGGCACCAACAGACCATGATGAGTGAACAAATCGAAGCGTTGTAGAGATTTAATGCAGCGTGTACACAGGTCCGCATCTGTGCGGGTTTTACTATAGTTTACCGGACCGGAGCAGATCGTTTCAATGAGTACAAGCGGTAAAATTAAGTTACTTATTTTAAGTTACAGTCATTAAAAGCATGTTGTCGCTTATGTTCATCACCATGTTGAATTATTATCGGACCTGTGATGTTTTGGATCAGGGCCGTTTTGTAACCTTATGTAATCGCCCGTATGCGATGCACCAGAATGCCGTAAAATTTATTTGTTTATTACAATAATTGTCTGTTTGTGGTGAAAAAGCCGTGTCGGCACAGAAACTTGCAACTGCAATTCCAAACGATATAAACAAAAACTCTTTCTGCTCAGAATCAGATCGCTTAGTCCGTAAACACAACAATTTGTATTAAATCATAAATCTTAGTTATTTTCCGAATGGTTGAAACTCCAGCCCCACCTTACTCTTATAATTATTTGGGGAATAAACATATGAACTTAAAAAACTTTCAAGATTCGTAATTCGTATGTACCATATAATTTATTTATTGGTTTTATTTGATTTTTCCTTATTTTATTTATCACACCCTTTTTTTCTGGTAAGGTTAATTACACTCAATCGTTGCTTGGTGGTATCAGTTACGAGTACATGTACTCTGTACATTTATACTTCTCCGAAAGATTTAATTATCAGCATTAACTAAAGAATTAATAACCCCTAATTAATACTGTACGCAGTACGTACAAGGAAGATAGTTATATTTTTAGTTTATATTGTTCTATTCCGATAGATATCTACTCCAGTCTCCAGATACAAGCTACCGTAATCAGCTGTAAAATTTGGGTTAGGCCCTGTTCTTATCGAAAGTTGTGCGGTGGAGTTGTCTCATTTACATTCAAATAAATCCTTGTTAACTTTGCAAAAAACAGGTTAATTTTACGGGACCACATCAAGTCAGTTTTATGGGATCCATGGTGACATGCGACCGTGCCTGGAATTTGTCGGAATAATCCTTCTGGCCGGCAGCTGTCTTGGAGATACTAGTCGATTACGCTTCAATTACCCCAACGTCGATGGCTGGCATAACTGGGCGGAGCCACAGTCCGATCCGATGATGGCCTTCCAGAAATCATACGCGCAAGGGAAGCCTACGCCGCGACCGCGCAGCAGCACAACTCGTACGACGACCCTGTCATGGGAGGACACCAAGCGAAAAGCCTACCTGCGACATCAGTGGCTCAAAGCTCAAGGTTTAATCTAGTTCTCAGCTATTCCAGTGGATAGTTGAAGTAAAATCCAAGGGCACGGAAATGAAACCCTTTTAAAATGAGATTCTATTTTCGGGTGTGCTGTAGTGTCCGTGCGACCTAAAAACATGATGTGAGGTATAACCGTGTACCTCGTCATGATTTGCCCATAATTGTATCGTTGTTATGATTTCATCGCCATTAGCACGCTGTGCACAATCGGGACGCGATACTAAGCAAAAAATTAAATTTTATTCAGTTGTACAGCATTGTATTTTTGAAATTTCCTCAGTACGGACAACAACATTAAGCTCCGCGCAAAATGCTCAAGCAAACTGTACATGCAAACGTTCATTATAAACTGTAAATTCTTGAGGAAGTTTTCTAACGGAACAAAGTTTCGTTGAATTCTGGAAGTAAAACACTCTGCTCGTTCTAAAGAGGAAGGATAAAAGTACGTACGTAAGTGTGTTGTAGATACAAGTACTTACTCGTATGATGCATACTTCATAAGACTTAGTATGATAACCAGTCTAATGTAGACATACTTCAACATTAATTTCGCGTACTGTACTTATAGTGTGCAAGAATTTTCGGTACTTACTGTTACGGTAGTATGATTAGTTAGAGCGTATCGGCACGTTTGCACAGTTCCTAACGGCACGAGCGTCCCAGGCGCTCGTACGTCAGCTCTTTGCTACCCAGTACTATAGTAGTCTACAAAGAGCTTTGCTTGCGTACTTCGCGCGAACGCGTCATTCCGATGCAGACTCATGACCTTGCTTACGGTTCGTCTCACGTCTCCTGGTAACCATCCACAGACACGTCACCGTCCTTAGTGAGTCTATTATATTTTTGACATCCCCGCGCGATTCCTATTAAATTTGACCTTTTGATTCCAGGAACCCTTTACTCGTTTATCATGCAGAATCTGGCGGTAATCTGTACGTTTATCATGCAGATGGCTCGCCAGCAGCAGCAGCAGCAGCAGTACGCTGCCTATGAGCAGACTCTGGATCGGCAGCGGCGCAGAGTCAGTCCCAGATGTGACTTATACCCCGAGCTGTGCTCATATTAAACAGTTGCTTTTGGACGTCCATTCACGGGTTATGCAGCGTCATGAAGAGACTGAGTTTTGTCACTTTTTATCGCGTTTTGTTCTGTTCATTTGAATTACTGCTGTTTTTCCATCAAATTTTTCAGTGCTAGTAAATATTGGGGCAGTGTTGGAACAAAATAAAGCCTGATGGGCTCCTTTGCAGCTTTGCTCAGTTTTTTCTATAATAATGATTAATGTGTGTACAATTTGCAACTTCTGAACAATGTGTAGTATGCGCATGCCCATCTTCATAATGGCAATTATACAAGTACGGTATTAGTTACACAGTACTTACAGCTGTTTAACTATTTCTGGCGAGCGTCGCCGGGAAATAACTTTTGGTGAACTTTGGGGCGTGTGAAGATTAAAATTAGAGAAGTACGAACATTATGCGCTACATAGTACTCCATACAAAATTATACAGTATTTATTATTTTGTTTATTTCACTGCTTCAAGACATTATAGAAAAACAGTTAACATCGCATCGTAGATATGGCACAGTTCGTACACGTCTATTTTCTGGTGCGCGATTTGAGCTCGTAGTACTGTAGCCTAAGTAGCCAACTGAAGTCCTCCGTGTAGAAATCAGCACTAGGAGCAGTTTGCATAGTCCATGCAGTCTCTGTAGTCCACGTAGTCTCGTGTAGTCCATGTAGTCCATGTAATCTCGGTAGTACACGTAGTCTCGTGTAGTCCATGTAGTCCCTGTAGTCCACGTAGTCTCGTGTAGTCCATGTAGTCTCGGTAGTCCACGTAGTCTCGTGTATTCCATGTAGTCCACGTAGTCTCGGTAGTCCACGTAGTGTCGTGTAGTCCATGTAGTCCATGTAGCCGCGTGTAGTCCATGTTGTCTCCGTAGTCCACGTAGTCTCGTGTAGTACATGTAGTCTCTGTAGTCCATGTAGTCTCGTGTAGTCCATGTAGTCTCCGTAGTCCTCGTAGTCTCGTGTAGTCCACGTAGTCTCTGTAGTCCACGTAGTCTCGTGTAGTCCATGTGTTCTCTGTAGTCCATGTAGTCTCGTGTAGTCCATGTAGTCTCGGTAGTCCACGTAGTCTCGTGTAGTCCATGTGTTCTCCGTAGTCCATGTAATCTCGTGTAGTCCATGTAGTCTCCGTAGTCCTCGTAGTCTCGTGTAGTCCATGTAGTCCTCGTAATCCACGTAGTCTCGTGTAGTTCATGTAGTCTCCGTAGTCCTCGTAGTCTCGAGTAGTCCATGTAGTCTCCGTAGTCCTCGTAGTGTCGTGTAGTCCATGTAGTCCATGTAGCCGCGTGTAGTCCATGTTGTCTCCGTAGTCCTCGTAGTCTCGTGTAGTACATGTAGTCTCTGTAGTCCATGTAGTCTCGTGTAGTCCATGTAGTCTCCTTAGTCCTCGTAGTCTCGTGTAGTCCACGTAGTCTCTGTAGTCCACGTAGTCTCGTGTAGTCCATGTGTTCTCTGTAGCCCATGTAGTCTCGTGTAGTCCATGTAGTCTCGGTAGTCCACGTAGTCTCGTGTAGTCCATGTGTTCTCCGTAGTCCATGTAATCTCGTGTAGTCCATGTAGTCTCCGTAGTCCTCGTAGTCTCGTGTAGTCCATGTAGTCCTCGTAATCCACTTAGTCTCGTGTAGTCCATGTAGTCTCGGTAGTCCTCGTAGTCTCGTGTAGTCCATGTAGTCTCGGTAGTCCTCGTAGTCTCGTGTAGTCCATGTAGTCTCCGTATTCCTCGTAGTCTCGTGTAGTCCATGTAGTCTCTGTAGTCCATGTAGTCTCGTGTAGTCCATGTAGTCTCGGTAGTCCTTGTAGTCTCGTGTAATCCACGTAGTCTCTGTAGTCCACGTAGTCTCGTGTAGTCCATGTATTCTCTGTAGTCCATGTAGTCTCGTGTAGTCCATGTAGTCTCGTGTAATCCACGTAGTCTCTGTAGTCCACGTAGTCTCGTGTGGTCCATGTATTCTCTGTAGTCCATGTAGTCTCGTGTAGTCCATGTAGTCTCCGTAGTCCTCGTAGTTTCGTGTAGTCCATGTAGTCCTCGTAATCCACGTAGTCTCGTGTAGTCCACGTAGTCTCTGTAGTCCACGTAGTCTCGTGTAGTCCATGTAGTCTCGGTAGTCCTCGTAGTCTCGTGTAGTCCATGTAGTCTCCGTAGTCCTCGTAGTCTCGTGTAGTCCATGTAGTCTCCGTAGTCCTCGTAGTCTCGTGTAGTCCATGTAGTCTCCGTAGTCCACGTAGTCTCGTGTAGTCCATGTAGTCTCCGTAGTCCATGTAGTCTCGGTAGTCCTTGTAGTCTCGTGTAATCCACGTAGTCTCTGTAGTCCACGTAGTCTCGTGTAGTCCATGTATTCTCTGTAGTCCATGTAGTCTCGTGTAGTCCATGTAGTCTCGTGTAATCCACGTAGTCTCTGTAGTCCACGTAGTCTCGTGTGGTCCATTTATTCTCTGTAGTCCATGTAGTCTCGTGTAGTCCATGTAGTCTCCGTAGTCCTCGTAGTCTCGTGTAGTCCATGTAGTCCTCGTAATCCACGTAGTCTCGTGTAGTCCACGTAGTCTCTGTAGTCCACGTAGTCTCGTGTAGTCCATGTAGTCTCGGTAGTCCTCGTAGTCTCGTTTAGTCCATGTAGTCCTCGTAATCCACGTAGTCTCGTGTAGTCCATGTAGTCCTCGTAATCCACGTAGTCTCGTGTAGTCCATGTAGTCTCCGTAGTCCACGTATTCTCGTGTAGTACATGTAGTCTCGGTAGTCAGGAAAAATAGTTTATTTCGATAGCCAAAAGAAATATTCTCCGTAGAAAATCGAAATAAATTTTGGGTTTACCGTGTGGTTACTGAACGAATTTTTTGGTTTTTTGACAGAGTAGGTTCAGATTGATGATAGCAAAAGCCGTTCACTGAAATCGCGTTTGTATAAGGACAGAAGTTTGTGTCGGAAAAAAATGATTATCCTATCTTTGAAGAACATACTAGCACCGGAAGAGATATAAGATATGTTTGTCGTTCAACGATATGCTAGGGAGTTACAATTTCAAC